GCAGGGGAAAAAAGGAAGGAAAAAGAAAAAGGATAAAAGAAAGATAAAAACCCCCTCGGCAAAGGGCGATACACCCATTTTTGTCAGCTCTGCTATGAGACAGCTCGACTCATGGATCGCCGTATCCAAGGCGACCATCTGGGCAATGCTCCCTGAGGTGTTGTCAGGCGACGTTCGGGCGACACGGCCGAAATCCTGTGCTGCAGGTAATGTGTCTCAGAGACTAACCATGCAAAGGCCAAACAGAGAGAGTAGCGTTATGGTAGAGTCGACGCCGAGGCATCACAAACCTGTGATTCGGTGGAGTGGAGATGTGACGCCAACCATCCAACACACGCGGAACGAAAGCCGATAGAGAAGACCAAAAGTATTTTTAGCACTGCGACCTTGCCGTGGGTGGTTGGGTGGTGTGCTACTATGCATCGATCGCTTTACCTGCCGTCGACCTGAAAGGCTGGATTGGTGACCACATACCAAGCCCTAGACGCCCTCGTGGTCAACTAAAAAGGCCCGCCAGCCAGCCCACCGACAATGGTCGTGGGGAACCGGAGTTTCGAATCTTTTAGACGATTCCCTTCCTCCCGTTATGATGTCCTGAAGCTTGGGTATTTCCGCTTGTTTGTTGTGGAATCCGACACATTGCAACACAAGAGGAAGAGGCTCTTCCGAATCCGAGTCGGTGCTAACACTGTTGGACTGTTAGGCCTGGATTCAAGGATTCAAAAACTCGGTTCATTCAAGGGCTGTTCATTGTTGCCGCCATCGACTAATTATTGGCCCACTGTGATGGAACTTGGGCCAGCCCCGCAATCCAATTGGCTCGACTGGTCATGCATTTCGCCCAACCGTATGGAGTAGTTACTTCGTAGTCCATGCATCGTGCATCGGCGAGAAAGGAGTGCCTTTTGTGGAGCAGGTGTACGTTGTAGGTAAACTGACTGAACGCTTTGAATACAATACCCAGAGAGCGAGCGCAGGATTCCACTAAGTATCCTTAGATGAATAAGTAGGGAGGCTATCGGATGCACTGTCGGCTAACGCCAACCACTTTTGAGGATACAGTAATGTGACGTGACACGGGCTGCATGCTGAGACGGGGGTAAAACCATCATCATGTCATGCGCTTGCCGCGACGTCTCCTCTTGGCAAAATACTGATAGATACTGACAAGACAAGACGAGAGGCCGCCCCTCTCTGTACCCGTACTCTTTACGGATTGTTGGTAAGGTAGCCACAGACTGAACCGAGCTCAGGCGCGGGGGGTGGGTCGGTGGATCTGGGCGGTGGTACGTACTGTATCTACCTAAGGCAAGGTACATACCTTACCTAGGTACCTACCTTAGGCATTGTTGTTACCCCAGCGGGATGTACCTATGAGATGAGAGTGGTTCCGAATGTGCGTGCCATCTGGAACCTGGTAATAGGAAAATAAACGATCATGAATAGAAGGCGATCCACGTTCCCGCTGTCGTGTCCGACGTGTCAAGCATCCAGAGACTGAGCCAGTGTGGCATTTTGTGTGCCTGAGTGATCTGAAAGGCGGAAGGCCCCGAGGAGAGGCACGGATGAATGTTAGTGGTATCGATAGTGCGAAACGGGCAGGGGACGGTCAGCAAAGCCTGTAGCGCCGCCGAAATGCAACGCTGCCTACCTAAAAGGTAGTCAACTCCAGGAGCATTCTCCACGCTTCTCGGGCTGAGGTGTCATACTCACGTACTCTGTTTGTAGAAACTCCTGTTTGTACGGATATTTCGCAACGGTAGGCTTTCTCTCCCACTCTATGTGTGTGCGTGTTGTTGTCATTGGGAAGGGTTCGGTTGGAGGGAAGAGGCGCCCATGTTCAACGTTTTCTGCCAGAGGGTGGGTGACCTAAAAAAGAGGAAGACAGAAAAGGAACGCAAGAATCGTGTTTCTTTGTACGACGAAGAGTAGCAAAGCTTGGCACGAACTTAACGGGGGTTATGTGGAAAAAGTCGATGGTCTTTTTCGGCCTTTGTATTTGCACACTCCGAGAGAGTCGCCTTGAGATATTAGTGTCGTTTCGTTTGTTCGCTTCGGTGCGTGTTCGTCCCAGAAGATCACGTCGTAGACTCTGAACGAAGGCCCGACTTTGGAACGAGGGGCTAATTTCGACGGAGGGAAGTATTCTGGCGGCGGGACGAAACGTAGGTCAAGAAAAAAAAAAAAAAAGAAAAAAAAAAAAAAAGAAGTGGTTGGCGAAGAACAGTCCTTGTCTTCAACGACGAACTACCTTATTCATACCTTGAGGGGCGTGGCTCCAAGAGTCGGTGCATGGGGTGATTGGAGAAAATATTAGGCGCTTCCCGTGGGCGACCGGAACAAGAACGGTTGGTGCGAGAGGCAAAAGTACAGTACTTCGTCCCTACATCCTGGGGTGCTTCGTGCATTGTACAGAAGAAGTAGGCAAGTGCCTACCCGAGGCGAGGAGTGACCCGCTTCGGTAGACATCCCCCGGCACGAAGCTTCTCTTCTATTGGTTAATATCCATGTCGCTAGTTTGCACTCGCCGTCTCGGCACTGGTTGCCTCTAACTGTCCCTCCTAAACGAGCCTCCAAACGGTGAGCTGGAGTCTCCAAAACTTTGCCATGTACGGGTTCACTCTGTAATTACAAAGTACTTCGCACTTGCCATTTCCAAGCGCGCTACGAAAGGGCGCCCCAACATTTCACCCACCTGTCTATCGAGTACTGACCCTCTTGAGGGCTTTAAATGCCCCATCCCTCCACCGTGAACGGCAATGTGAAATGATAGGCGAATAATAGATAAGTGACATTGTTCCTTGCGTATTCCCTTGTTCTGTATTCTGTAGGTAATTACTTCGTAACAAGATCGTGGTACCTTGAAATCAAGGCTTGGCTGAAAACACGTGACTTTTAACCCCGCTTTACATAATCTTCGAGGAGACGAGACCAAGACCGCGTTTGAGGTGGGGCATTTCCAACGTCGCGAGTCGAACCGACTTGCCGACTAAGTTTGAGCCTCATTGTAACTGGTGTCTTCGGATAATAGAAAATAATCAAACCATGTCAAAGTGTCTTCCCTTCGATTATTTTTGCCTATGTAATCGTATACTGATTATATGTCCCTGCCATATGAACAGCCGGCACTGATAAAACTGGCTCTCCGTTCGCGAAGAATTCGTTCCTCACGTCAGGCCTCATCCAATGGCATGCCGTGCTCGACGCTATAAGCGCTGGCTAAGCGCCCTCCAGCCAAGGCCGCCTGGCTACCTCACTTCCTCATTCATATGAACCTTACGTCAAGTTCAGTTGGACACATTCCTTCCAGAAGCCTGATTTCGCTGCTAACCACGCTCCCCCTCCGCCGGATGCCACGAGACGAGTCGAGATACGATGCAGGGTCAGCGCCTAAAGACCCTATTTATAACTCCCGACCCAGGTTTCCGGACCGGAGCCGTGCGGGTTCTGTGGATCCCGGCATCTCATGTCTACGATCTCTAGCTGCGCAGGTCCGGTCCTGGGGTCCCGAAGCTAGATATGGAGGCGCCGACTGACACCCTCCATGCATCTTGGCCCTTCACGATGCGAAGATCTACTGGCCCACACGCCAGCACCCTGCAGTGCCGGACTGCAGGCAGTCGAGAAACCGGGGAGCCACCAGCCCTCGGGCGTTACGCCCGAAGAAGTGACGCACGCGACGCATTGGACAGTGAGCTTCGTTGGCCGACTGCTCGCTATGACGACTGGTGGTCCTGCGCCCTAGGCCTCATATGACGTCGGCGCCCCTGAGCAACGACGGGTGATCCCATGCGTGACAGGCAGCCACGAACATAAGCCAACCCATGGGGACCCCTCCAAGTCCGTAGATCCTGCCATCTCACCCCCTTGACAGACAGGGTGTCTGATAGCATGTGCACTACTATCCCGACATCCACCCCTCCCCCCCTGTTGGTCTTCAGCTGTCCGCCAGGTCACCAACTGCCAACGACTCACCAGAGCCGCCCGAGAACGATCTGCCGAGCGTCACGAACTGCGGATACTGCAGAGCACTCTCGGCTATCGTAAGGCTACAGCCAGAAGAGAACCAGGGTCTCATCCACCTGTGCCGCTGTATGGTCCTGACATCCCGGTCCCATGGGGGGGGGGCTCAGACCCGGTAAGTTGTTGCCGGATGTAAGTTATTATTAGGTAGATTTCTGATCAGCATGATCGCTCCCTTGTCTCAACCCCAGTTGCTAAATAAAGCAGCGGACCAGGAGTCTCAACCTGCATCTGCTTATGACATGCAGACTGCTTAACATAACGTCAACTCCTCGCACGCTTAACACTTATCTCTCTGTTTACGTATGCCCCAAGCGCTTTATATCCCACTTACCACCCTGCCTTGTTCTCTTCCCCCTTAAAAGACACAACAAGCGCCGAGCAGAGTTGTGCTATGTCCACATCGAATCGTATTGCAGCTGCCCCTTGCTCGGAACAGACCGTGATGCTTCTCGGCGGCTCGACTCGTCCTGTATTTTCCTGAGGTCAGCCCAGTTCCTTTCCCACCACTGGATCCATCCTATCACAGCATGCGAAGAACCAAGACATCGAAGATATTCACCCCTCCCCACTGACACCGAACAATACTCTCGTTTCACTTGGCTTTCTCATTACAGCGGGACAGGGGTCAAGCATTCTTCATATGTCCGGTCCGCCAATATTGCGTGTTGCGTTGTTGACGTATGCAGCGGCTATGAAGAGTGGAAAGTAGGAGCATCGACCTCGTCATGTTCGTCCCCGATACGATGTCCTGGATCTCGAATAATAGATAGACGGTGGTCAACCAACCCCCGGTGAGTCGTACCCGCCATCCCCCCGGCCCTTGAACCGGAACTGCCTTTGAAGCTATCAGGCCCATCCCTCCCAGCAACGCCTACGTAACGACCATACCCTGATTCCGCTCCCGTCGCGGGGTTTGCTGGCTCTGTACTCATATATGTACCCTCAAGTGTAGGGGTACTTTCAGAATACATGCCTCATTTCCTTTGCCTCTTCGCACTCTTGTCACTTACAGTGCTCAAGACGCTAGCACTTCGCTTATGCGATGCCCCATTAGGTTCACTCCCGCCAGCCTTCTCGGCCTGAGCCTTATCCTCACCAGAAGCAGCCGTTTCCTCTCCCTTCGAATCGTTTTGGGATCGAGTCCTGTTACTCCACTCCCCATCGTTGATGTCTGATTGTTTCGCCGTCGTCTTCGCCTCCTTGCCAGATCCATCCTTCTCCGGGTTCGTATCGTTGGCACCCGTGCCCTTTGCCGACTCGGCAGAACCCCTCGGAGGGTTCTTTTTTCGTTCCCGCTCCTCGCGTTCTGTCTTCTTTGCCAACTCCACCTTAATCTCGGCATCAATCTTATCCGTGACCTTGCGTGCGTCCAAAAGGCTGCTGACGGCGCCCATGAGCTGCTCGAACTGGGCCGTCACTGCGGCAGTCGGCATGGTCAACCGTGGGGGGACGTCGAGCTCCGTGAGCAGATTAGAAATGCGAATCTGCTGCTGACCGGACTTGTTCGTGAAGAGCTTGTTGATACGCTCATATCGGAATGTCGGGCCCGGCGGTAGACGATCGTGGTAGGAGACGCCATATATGTATTTTTCGGCCTCAGACAGCTTGCGTCGTTCCTGTGGCTGTTGTTGCTGTTGTTGCTGCTGCTGTTGCTGTGGCTGTGGCTGTGGCTGCTGCTGCTGCTGCTGCTGTTGCTGTCCCTTCTTACCGCCGGTCTTCTCAGTAGGTGTTGACGCGGCATTAGCACCAGAATTCTTATTCCCTGGGCCGGAGGTGGTGGTAGCAGCGATACTCTCGCGCCGGCTTGAGGCGCCATCCGCAGCTGCTGATTGACCAGGCGCAGATGGACTGGCACCATCCGCCCCCATCAGCGACTTGCGTTTCTTATTCTTGTCGACGGCCATCATGGTCTGGAGCAACGTCTGCAAGCCGGAGCTCGACTTGAAAGAGCTGATATCTTGGTCCGTGTGGGGGTAGTCGAGTCGGTTATACAGTTCGCGACGCTCCTCATTGAACACGGCGCTGCGTTGAAGTATGCGTTTAATCTCCACAAGAAGCGACTCCTCCTCGTTGGCTTCCTCTTTGGTTCTGGTCATTCCGTTGATGGCGAACTCCTTCCGGAGCCTCTCCTGCGCCGGGTTGAATTTGGCCATCGTTTCATGTAGTGCGCACTCTTCTTTCGTCATATACTGGACAGGCGTTTGCGCTGCCATCATCTTCGCCGCAATCTCGTAGTACCGCGCTTTCAGATCCTCCATCGAACGGGGTTTCGGTGCAGGAATGATTGCTTTACTCTCATCACCATCCGCCGACGACTCGCCATTGATCGCCTCGGGTACGTAGTCGTATCGGTCCCAGATTATCGGCCATCGCAAGTCGTACTCCTTTACGAGATTTAGGAGATAGTCTGTTTCGTCCTTGGTCCAGTCGGGATTCACGAGGTTGGTCTGGTACTGGTCGTCGCTGTATTGTGGCACATCAACACGCACGTTGAACTTCGCAAAGGCTGAGTCTTCCAGTTCTCGCTTTGTCTCTTCGCTCTTGACACGTTCGCCTTCCTGTGGTTCAGTGGCGCCAGCCCCCGGACCATCCGTCTTCCTTCTCCAATGCTTCAGGATCAAACTTCCTCCATCGCCACGGGCCGAGTTTTGAAACACCCGCAGTTCCCATTTCGCAGCCGGCTTCCGGCTTGCGATGCGCCGCTTCTTGAATATGGAAGCCTCAGGGACGATTGCGATTGGGTTGTCGCCGCCCAGGTTCTGTACTTCACGAGCCAAGCCTTTTAGGCTCAGCCGCGGCGCTGGGGTCTTCTGCTTCTTTGCCGGCCGGGGTCCCGCGTGGGCTTCGAGATTTAGTACGTCTCGGACGTCGGAGGAAGTCATGTTGCAGAAGGTATGACGCGGGCTTCGGCGGGAGGGAGGGTGGGTGGGGGTCGAGGAGTAGCAGAGGCCGATGCGCTGTGGATAAGGAGACGACTCAAGAAGCCGGCATTAGTAGCATCGGGAGCCGACACATCCAAAACAAGGAATCTTGTAAGTCTGAGATGTCGTCCTGAAAGTTGGTGAGATGGGGTTTTGATGAAAGCCGAGAAATTGATGGCACGGTAGTTGGAAGATTGAAGTCCACATTGAAAAGTAAAAGGCTCAGACGCGAAGCAAGTTTGTACGAAGTACGTACACCGTGCAGCGTATAAGGTACCTAAGGTAAGGTAATTAAGGTACAGGTAGCCTCGCGACAGAAGGCACGTGAGAGACCCACTTTATACATAGGGGACCCATACGCGTACAGAGGTAGTAGGTACGTACATGCACAACAGGGCCAATTTTCGAACGTGGCAGCTTTCCGCCTTGGTCTGGTAGGGGGCCATTGAAGTTGATCGTTGAAGTAATTAACGGGAACCTCGAAACGGTCAACCTCACCCAACTGGACTGTCTGCTCAACAAGTGCCGAACTGTACGATTGGAGGAGCGTCCTCCCTTTGAGTTCCCGATCTCGACACACATCCATCCCCTCACCAACCACATTGACAAAGATGAAGGCCCTCCTGCCTTTGCTGTCCCTGAGCGCCGTCGCGCAGGCGATCTACTTCTATATCGACGGCACCTCGCCGAAGTGCTTTTTCGAAGAGCTGCCCCAGGATACTCTGGTCGTCGGACACTACACGGCCGAAGAATGGGACGACCGGATTCAGGACTGGGCCAAACATGATGGTATTAGCATCTATATCACAGTCGATGTACGTCACCCACCACCAGACGGTTCTCCCCCCTGGTGACCGTAGACCCATGGTCACTTGCATTCGCCCTCCTCCTTCCGCCGTGCTACCGTTTGACAACCCAGCCTTTCCCTTGCCTCGTATCTCTCTAACAATGCTCTGCCTTCCCTATAGGAAGTCTTCGACAATGACCACCGCGTCGTCTCTCAACGCGGCGCTGCCTCTGGAAAATTCACCTTTTCTGCGGCCGACGCCGGCGATCACCGCCTCTGCTTCACCCCGTCCTCAACCTCTGGCCGCTCAGGCTGGCTGAGCAGGGCCAACCCCAACGGTGGCATCCGGTTTAATCTCGACTTGGTCATCGGCGAGACCTCCAAGATCGAGTCACGCGACAAGGACAAGCTGCAGGACATCGCCTCCAGGATTAAGGACCTCAACGCCAGGCTGCAGGACATTCGCCGAGAGCAGGTCTTTCAAAGAGTATGTCATGCCCGCGCTGTTTCTTTCCCCCGCCCATCTTTCGCGGACTTCGCTTCCGAGCGAAACCTGAACCATGGTTTGAATGCACCTGCTAATCGCCGAGCCTCTTCTCCCCCAACAGGAACGTGAAGCCGAGTTCAGAGACCAGTCTGAAATCACCAACTCCCGTGTCGTCCGCTGGATGATCATCCAGACCGTTGTCCTTACGGGCACTTGCGCATGGCAGCTTTCTCATCTCCGGTCTTTCTTTATCAAGCAGAAGCTTACCTGAAGAGAGACAGGAGTAAAAAAGGAGGAAGACGGAGAAATAGAGGACATGGTGGCTAGGAGCAGAGGTATATGTGGTCAGAAAGACAGTCGAATAAGACGTGAGGGGATCGATCCCTTGGCCTCAGGAGTGCGCTGGAGCGAAGATACAACCATGGTCATATGCATCTGCTTTCTATGCTGCGCATCGGCCTATGCATCTCGCCGTACAACGATGCCGAGACTCGAGCGAAAGGGGAATTGTCTTGCGTGTCGGCTGTCCATTCGAACGAACGGGATTAGCATGAATGGATATCATGTAGAGAATAGCGCGCCTATATGAAAAGAGTGAGAGAGGAGTTGGTCTGTAGACTTAGTTTGCCATGAGCATCCACAATGATTCAATGGGATCTATTATTTCTAAAAGAGCAGGCCAACAACGACTGACAAGAACACTTCAATGCGACATCTTTTTCATCCCCATGTGTTTTCAAGTCTTGAAAGCCTACCAACTCCCGAAAAGCCCATTTCCCTGAAGCTAGCTGCTGTATCCTTTTTTTGTTGTCTGCTCTCATCACGCGACCCTGAGGCGAATTCGACATTTGACAGCTCTTGCACCTGCTCTCGGGCAAGACAAGCGACTCCTGTCTCATCATTCGCCTCGCGCTGCGCTCTTATTATGTACAGTAATCAAAAAACATATCGTAGTGCCAGACCCAATGCTATGGAACCCGCCTTCGCCCCTATGCGCCGTGCTGCGCTGTATATTAACAAAGATGTATATATGGTCCGTTGTTGCTGTTTGTACGCTATTCCTCAGCTCTGATGGTCTTGTCTTCAGAAATCTAAGGCATCCTCGACATTTAAGTCCCAAGGTGTACGATTCGAAACTGGCCGTCCATGCCGATAATGCACCGGAGTGATGTGGCTGCTGCGAGGCATACCAGGCAGAAGGCGTTGCCATGGATGGTGACCAAGAAACATCCCGAAGTTACCGATCGCCAATATAGAAGGCACCGTGGCCAGTAAGAGAGTAGCAGAGAGGTGACCAAGGAAAAGGAGTGGTTTGACATCCAGAAGAAAAGGACTTTAGAGAATTGCGAGACAGTGCAGCGGGCACCGACCGCGAAGTGCCAGTATGATTTTCAGCCATAAAGAAAGGAGAGTAGACGAGGTCGACGTGGAGGAGACAGCGACCACCTCTGCGACCTGGTATGATAGACGGTCTCTCTAACTCGTCTTTGCCGTCTCTATCCGGATGTTCGTTCTGTCGAGTTCACAAAGTCGTAACTCTAGCAATTGACGCCGATGAGACTAGCCTGTATGCGTATCAGCCGCAGGCCTGACCACAAATGCAGGTTAGGTCTACTTACCGCAGCAAAGCACCTTCATGAACTTCTGGAACCCCGTGGGCTGGGGTTCAGTGGGACGGCCGTTGAGCTGGCCAGGTTGGTTCATGGGGCTCTGCTGGGGCGTCGTCTGTGGAAGGTTCCGGTTGCTGTTCTGGAATTGGGCTTGGGTGGAGGCCGTAGGCGTCGCCATATCCCGAAGACCCCCGGCTCCGCTTACCCGCTGGGCGCCCAGAGCGCCGGGGGCGTTTGGCCGACCTTTGTTCATCTGCTTGATCGGCGACGGAGGCGGGGGTTGCGCGGCGTTTAAACGGCTCACGGTCAGGTTCTGTCCTTGGGCAAGTGCCGCAGCATTGGCCCCGCGATTGCTGCTGTGCAGCTCCATCTGCGACGGGCCCGGTCGCGCATTTGGGTTGTGCAGATAGGCCGTGTGCCCCTTGCTGCCACTGTCCCAACCCTTCCCCGAATCCTTGGTGATCTTCATCCAATCGTACTCACCGTCCTCAACTTCGCCCGAATTCTTGAGGGCTTGTGTGAAGAGTTCCCTGAGATAGTCGTAGTCTGGCGTGTCCTCGAAGCCGAGATTGCGCACGTAGGTGAGGTATTTGTTGAACTCTTCCGGGAAGCCCTCACACAGATCCCTGATCGCAGTAGTTTGCTTCTTCTCGCCAATCTTCTCGTACTTCTGCTTGTTGGTGGCAGCCTTGAGACCTTGCCAGGGCAGACCACCTCGGAGGAAGTACATGAAGACGTGACCCAGGGCCTCGAGGTCGTCACGACGCGACTGTTCCCGACCAAGGTGAGTGTTGATACTCATGTAGCGGGCCGTGCCTGATAGGGACTTGCGCTCGCGGTACGGAATGTGCTGCTTAGTTTTGGGATCGCGGTACTGTTTCGCCATGCCAAAGTCGACGACGTGAATAACGTTGGCCGCCTTGGTACCGGGACGACCAATCAGGAAGTTGTCAGGCTTGATATCGCGGTATATCAGGTTCTTCTCATGGATGGTTTGCACTCTCGAGAGCTGCGGTATGGTCAGATAAGAACGCTAGCTGCGAGTGAGAAGGGAAAAAGGCAAGTACCATTTGCTTCGCTACCATGACTACCGTCTTTATGGTAAACCTGCGACCACAGTGGTCGAAAAGATCCTCGAGCGAGAGTCCAAGAAGGTCAATGACAAGAATGTTATGCAGACCTTCCTGACCGAAGTAGTAGACGTTAGGGATGCCGGCTGAATTGGTGTTAGAAGACCAAGAACTTCGTGTTTTCAGGACTCGGCGGTGGACTCACGGCACCCAACGAGAATCTTGTATGTTCTGTACTCATCTCGCAGTTGAGGAGCATCGCTCTTGCGAGGTTCCTGCATTGTGACCCTAGATCAGCTCACTGGCCTCTCTGGTTCCCATGACTGGAGATAACTCACGAATTTGATGGCCACCTGCTGGTTATTCAGGAGATTGGTGCCCTCGAAGATGACGCCAAACGAGCCTTCGCCAATCTTCTTTCCTACTCTATAATGCACACCAACAACATTACTCGAGGAGGAAGCCATTCTGTCGCAGATAATAGGTCCTGTGGCGGACCGATATGGAGTAGATGGCGTCGTATCGGGTCAGAGGTTCAACCGTGTTGCTGGGGTGGGATAATTTGGGAGACGTCGGCTCAGATCGAGATGGGTCGCGAGGATGCTAACGAGAATGGGCAAGCGAGACACCTGATCACCAAGTGAGAGGGCTGTCAGCAAGCAGTGTTTCCTTTAAGAAAGTCTTTAGAGTATGAAGAGACGACGTGCTGCAGGATGCAACGAACCATCGTTGTCGGGGAGATGCCTAGGGGGGGAAAAAAAAAAGGGGGGGGGGGGGGGGACTGGGAGCCAGAATTCTAAATCTGTGTGCACGGAGCCGGTGGCAAGTAGGCGAGTCGCGGAGTGTGCTGGGCTATGTTGATAAGAGGAGGTTTGGAAAGGGATGCAAGGCAGTGTAGCATCCCAAAAAAGACGGTTGTGGACGAGATGAAGCAGGTCTTCAAGACTCGAAAGCCGGGAAACCCGAAAAACGCACGCCGGCACAAAACAAGTGCCTACTCGCAAGAGAAAACCTACCTGCTCAATTGAGAGAGATCGATGGACAAGGCGGAGTCGTCTTTCAGTGGATTCTTGTCATCGACAACCCCCGGGTGTGCGCATGGGACACCAAAAGCAAAGGAGGAAAGGGGAAATCGGACAGGATCGGAGCAGTTTCCTTCAACTCCTTGGTAAGGACTGCTAGCTCATTTACGAAGCCAACAGGATCGAAGAAACTCAAGGAGGAGGTCCGATGGCGAGGAGGCGAGCCACGATCTCCTGTGGGCGGATTGCGTGGACAGGAGGATGGGTGTGATCGGGGACAGAGAGTAGGTACGAAGGGAAAGAAGGAGAGAAAGAAGAAGGGGCAAGAGGCAAACTTGGCAGGCTGGCTAAACCAAAGCACGGGGCTTCAGTAATTACCAGAGGCCTGATGTACGGAGTACTTAGTACCTGCACTAGGCTCCTGGGGTAATCCGCCGGCTGAGGTAAACATTACTATCTCAGGCTACGAATGGCTAGGTACATTAGAGTGGGATTTCATATGAACTAGTACGACGTTGGAAAGTACCTTGGTTTAGTTAGGAACCAAAGGATAAACATGTCATCTTAGGTACCTAGGTTGGAACGCTGTGACCACTTTTAACGGCACATATCACCGGGAAGTCCCACTGGTCGCTGGCCAACAGGTACCGGACTGGATACTGGAGCCAGTATTGATGTCGGCTATCCGTACTGCTAGGTAGCCAGGCGATGGGCACTGAGACCAGTGGACCACTGACAGTTCGCCAAGGGGGTCAGCTTTGCTGTTGCCAGCGGGGCCCATGTCCCAGACACGACTTGTATGTACGAGGTTACTGCGTAGACCGGAAGATTACCTTAAGGTAGAGTGGAAGATAGAGTTCAAATATCTAACCGTAAGGTACCGGTATGAACTCTGTCCACACAAAGTACGAGGTGCCAATCCAGGGGAAATGTGGGACATGTGCTTTGCTTTTGTTGTGAACGTTAATTTTGGTTGGTATCCGTAATAACGGATACGTTCGCGCGGGCTGCACCGTCTTTTGATGCACAAGGTGCCTTGCAGTATCGAGACCTCCTACCTACCCGGGTTTGGGGGGGTATAGGACAGAGCCCGATAACTGGTCAATCTGTCAACAGTCTTAGAACATCATGTCGACAGAAATTTCTCTGTCCTGGCTCTGGTCAGAGCAAAAGTCTCTGTCCGAGCTCTGACCTAGAAACCCCCCCTCCCGGGTAGGTAACCTCGTAGGCACGAATTGATATCGGGAAGAAAACTAGTGTATTCTCTTGAACAAATGGCCGGAATCGCTCCAAGAGGATATCTAATTAATTAGAGGAAAAGACGATCCAGTTCTCATAGCCCATCGGGAAAGACAGCCCTTGGGGCGTTCACTGAGCTGGCAATCCCTGTCGATTCCACATGTACAACGAACGGTACCTTATTAACGGGGCAATGAACTGGATTCGGTCAACTCCATTTCATCGGACGGATTCGTCCCCACCATCGAGGGCAACTCTCCGTTGGCATGGATCTTGGCTTCAACGAGTCCGTTACACGTACAACTCTACCCGTAAATGCCAACGAGGACAGAGCAATTACATACGGGTGACGTTGTAGAAACTGGCCTTGACTGACGGATACTCCAACACAACGGCACAACTGTCAGTTTCTTCAATGGAATGACGGCAACCTGGTCTGGCACCATCCTCGTCCAGCTGGTCGGTTGTTCAGGCAATTATCTCGAAAAGGCAGGCGGTTTTGGAGAAGAATCCATCCTGGTAATATCCAGTAGCAACAAACAACACAAATAAATAAATAATACCGTGTTACGGAGTACACGAGCCGGAAGCCCAGACAAAAGCAAGTCACATAATAATACTACGAAGTAGTTAATAAGTAGGGCCACCCATCTTAACGGCTTGTTGTCAGTTTATCGGTCCCGACGACGTCACCAGAAAGAACGCACAAGTATATATGTCTTTCCAATGCAGAGCTCTGAAGCTTTCCCGTGATAAAAAGCGCTCTCCCTGCAGCATAGGTGGCCGGCCATCCTCTGTGTCAAGCGGTTGTGTGAGACGGCCAATGGCGGTGTGGCCCCTTTCACCTCGACCGCATTAATCGGGGTCGGTCCGTCTCGACCTGCAGTCTGTACTCATAGGCATACCTAGGCCACTACGAATATTTCGTACTCCGTACGACCATCCGATGTTACATTCAGGGCCTGTATGGCCTAGGGCCAGTTTTTGTTGAGTGCTGTCAGGCTTCCCTCAAGTCAATTCGCCGATTCAAAGCCTCGAATTAGGACAGATCTCCCTTGTCCAATGCTTCCTTCTCTGCACACGATGGCACGTACCTTAGATATGTATCAGAACCCATACGAAGAGGCTTGCACGAAGTAATTCCGGATACAAAAATCAGCATTATGACAAATTCGACATGGAAAGGCGCTGCTGTCTAAAACGCACGTGGTCGGCGAGTCGCGCCGCGACAATGACTATTTAAGATAGAGCACTCCCATGAGAGTCGTTGGCTGAATATATCTCGCATTCCTGCTGGCCTGCTGCTGTTATAGAGTGACCGGCCAGCCTGTCTTGAATTCTTTCACATCCGCTTCTGTGTTATCTGCCAGCTCCTGGCGAAGCCATGTTCCCCTTCCCACTACCGCGGCAGTATAAGGAGACCGTTCCGAAGGTTTAACGTGTATACTCGAGAAGAGTAAATACAAAGGGGAAAAAACGAACGAAGAAATAAAGAAGGCGGGGTGACACCTCAACGCCCGCCCGTGGTGGGTGCGTCGATATAGTACAAATAAAAACGCCGGGAAAAACAAAACGCCTTGTCCGCTTGCCGTTGTTCTGAGGTTTGTCGAATGCGACGAACCTAGCCTGTTCTCCACTTCAACGACGAAAGGAAAAGAAGCTTGATCGATTTTCCTCTCCGTCCAGTGCACCTATTGGTGCTGGCCGTTTGCTTTTCCATTCAACTGCCGAGGATTAATATCCTCATCAAAACCTCGCACGTCGCCGTTGGCCGCGGCACCTGCCTTTGTTTCCTCATCGACCAAGTCTACCACAATGGCCTGAGCGTTCTCGGCTGCTTCCCGTGTCCATTTTTCAAGCCTTGCCTTCTCGATGTATTTCAAAAGGACAGAATCCTCCCACTTCATGGCCTCAACGAGCTTGTCCCTGAAGGACTTGTCCATGTCGTTGAAGCGGCGGTCCAAGCTGTCTACGAATACCCCCAGTGCTTCGGAGGGACGCAACGGCTGGAATGGGTCTTCGACCGTCTCTGTTGCCCATGGCTCGGTTAATGATCGCCTCAGAATACGATAAGGGGTCGGTTTCGTCAACTTACGTCCATGGTAGCAAGACAGCAACGCGCTGAAGAGTGTGGTCTCACCGAGCATCTCCTCAACCTGTGTGTCGTCTTTAAGTTGAGTGTCGTTGAGTTTGAGCCAGTCATCCCGTATGAAGCAGCGCCTCCAAATGAGCCGGTCTGCCAATTTCAGGTCCTCGCCGTTGAGGCCGCATTTCGCGACCTGGAGGGCCAAGTAGAACGGATCCTGCGTGTCCGCGGCGGTTTCTGGTTTGATCGCGATGAGTGTGAGGAGGTCGATGAGGGTCCAGGGATCGAGCGCCTCATGCTGGATAAGCCGCTTCAGTCCGTTCTCGAAGATGTGGGTCAGTGTTTTCTGTTTTCGTGGGATGTTGAGGCAGTGGCTCTCCATCACAAGCTGTAGCGCTGCCGTGTCGTCCACTGCTGTGCGAATGGTGGGATAGATGTGCCTGAAGAGGTCATTCTGAATCTTGATAATGGATAGCTCTCTGTCGACCTTGTCCAGCTGCTCCTCTTTCTTTTCCTCGTCATTGATACGGACTGAGCCATCGGCACGTCGTGACGGCCCGAACAGGCTAGGCTTTGGCGGCTGCTCGGCCTCGGCCAACAAAGCCAGTTTTGCCATGCTCAGCTCGATCTTCTTGCACCATACCTGCTGCTCGCGAGTGAGGCCCAAGTCGAGAAGCGTCTCGGCAGCATGGCCAGCATCCTTTTCCTCCAGAATGTCGTTAATCCACGAAATACGGGCGAGCTCGGGCCTCTTCCTCAGAAACCTGGTCTTGTAGCCGTGTCGGTCATAGGGGAAGTCCAGCACAGACCGGACACTGCCGTTCTCCAACAAGATGTCATATGTGGGGAAGGCAAAAGGCTCGCCATACTTGTCGAAATACTTTCCAATCTGCGATTCTTTGAGATCCGCCTTGGCAGAGAGACTCGCAATGTCGCTGGACGAAGCAACCAGCTCGATTTCCTTCCTCAAGCCATGGACCTGCTCAATCAAGGAGACAGCCAGTGCCCTCCAGGACCGATGCTTCTCGGCAATGGCCACGCTCTCATCCCACTTCCCTAGGCGAAGCAAAGAGAGAATCTTGTCGTATTTATCGGTAGCGTAAAGTTTGGCGCACTCCTGCGCCCATTGGCCTGATTTTTCATCCTGGCGGGCGGAGCTCCAACGAGACTGCTCCAGCAAGGCAAGGAGGTAGCAGTCCGTGAGAGGGCCGACTTCGGTTTTGATCTTTTCGATCAGTTGCGGATCGGGCTGCTTGGGCCCCTCTTTGGGAGGCGAATACTGATCGAGCCATTGGTGGCACAGCTCCAATAGTCGCTTTAGGTTGTTGGTGATGAAACTGGAGCTTGTCCAGAACTCCGGCAAGTCTTCGTAATCGGATCGCAGAATGCCAAACTCCAAGTCCTCATTTTGGAGCCCGTAGAAAGCTAGTTTGTCCGTCCTGTATTCCAGAGCCGCGTTCAGCGAGATCAGGTTGACCTGAACCGCCTCGTGGATGAGGCGAGTGATATGAACGTCGTCGAGTATGTGGTCTTTGTACATATACTTGATAACCTCGTAGGCCCAAGCAACAAAGATATGAAGATTGGCCACATCATGGATGAACCAATGTCGCACCCGGTCAACCTCTCCGACATTTCGGTTAGGCACCTTCTTCTCGCTCTGGTGGATGAACTCCACAATCTCCGACATCAGATCCTTCTTACTGTTCGCAGGCCGGTCGTGTGTAAAAGACTCGTGTCGCTTCCAGAGAACTGTCGACGCCGCCATCTTTTCTGCATGTGACAGGAGAACCCATCGCGTGCGGCGATCGAGCTGAACCTTCATCGCCCTGAGGTGATACATGAGCCTCTCGAGGGCAGCTGTGCGACTCCGGAGGTTATCCTCGAGCGACGCGGGCACAGTAGAAATATGCAATAGGGAGGAGCTGAGAATCTCATGGCTCAGTTGTAATGCCGCTTCCGCCATCTCACTGTTGGAAAATTGGATACCCCGTTGGTTGGCGAAACTGAGAGGCGTGTCCTGTTTGTTTCCGAAGAACACGGCCTGTTCCAGCTTGCTCTTCGCGTCGACCTTTGGCGGCTTGTCACTAGCAAAGCGGTCTATGTCGGTCGTTGTCAGCCGAAGGATACCGGTGCCTCGAACTAGGAAAACTGCCGATGGATTCTTTGTCTTATGGCGGATACTCCTTGCGTCTTCGGGGTTATTTTCTGCCGCATAGGGTTCCTCAAAACCAGAACCGACAATTCCAGCCACATTGTTGTCGCTCAGGCTTAGGACATCTTCGTACGTCGGTGGTATAATGTGACTGTCTTCCTGGAGTTGCGCGTCCGGCGACTCGGGCGGACATGCTATCGATGCGATGACGACGGCTTTGTCGAAAACCACGAACGCAACAAGTGCTGGGCGGGGAAGATGCAGACGAGGCCTGATGGACAGGTCTGAGCTCGCGGGAGTGAAACGAGACCGGTAAGACGTGACAGGCCGCACCATGCCGATTCGTGGGCCGGAAGGTGAGAGAATGACCTCCACCAAGGAGTAGTGGGATTCCTTCTTCGAGAGGCTGACAAGAAGGAGTAGGTGCTGAAGACTGGCGTCGTTAGACGCCATGGCGTCACTCAGCCTACTGAGTTCTTGATATTTAGACTCGATGCCCTGAGGTACGTAGGTGAAGTCGACGATCTCGAAAGCATCAGGGTGAGAATCGGTGCTCATCTTTGGGTCGACTTCCCGAATGGCGTCCGTTATTTGTTGCCGAACGTCCGCCTCGGCGATGTTGTCGTTGTGTCCTCCACGGTGAATTCTCCATGCGTACAGTTTGCCCTTGAGTGTTGCGGCAACGATGTTTCGCTCACCAATTCGGTGGCTCCGGTCGGCCCGGACAGCCGCAATCTCCCCACGACCCGCGGAAGGAGCCAGCGCATGACGGATGCTGCCAAAGATGCCTCCAGTGTTGGAACTGATACTGGTCCGTAGGAACTGGATCGAAACCAAAGGTCTGCCGTGACCGTCACGGACGCTCATGTAGGCCAGCCTCCCGCTTGTAAAGGTCAGAATGAAGCCTGCGGACTCGGCGTTGGTAATTTGGACAACTTTCTCCCCGGAAAATAGGCCCGGAATTGAGCCCTCGATACCATGGCGTTGCTGTCGCATGAAATCCAGGGTAGCAGCACTTGAAATGGACTCCCAATAAGTTATCTTCCCGCTGACAGGCATGACTACCACAAGGCCGGGTTCTGAAGACGAGGCAGATGGTGATACCAAGCAACCAATTGGTAAAGGGTCGGTTGCATGTTTGGAGGGATAGGGAAGCGTAAACGTGAAGGCCTCAGGGGACTGCGTCGGGCTGGTGTAGGGCCAGACGATAGCATGTGTGTGGGTGAGTGCGAGGGCATATCCGTTGGAGCAGATCTCGGCATGTTGTTGTCCTTTTTTTTATTTATACTTGTTAGCTAGGAAGCGTTTCCTCTGCGATGGGCGTCCACAAGAGAGGGGTGCTTTACCTGTTGCATCTGCGCGAATCCGGTCTGGCAAAGCTGGGAGCTTGCTAACGGTGTAGGCGTTGTTGGTTGTCTGTATCGTGGAGCCTGTCAGCATCGACACTGACCGCGAGCGAAGAAGACATAGAAGAGGGAATGATTGAGAAAACATACCAAGACTACGCTTCCATCTCCTTTGGCCGTACGTTCAACATGTTTGGGTCGCTTTGCCCGAACACTGAGTTCTTTCTTGGGAATCGGCTGGCTCTCAAACCCAAACCCATCTTGCCTCAAATCGAGGTTTGCACCCTTATCCGCCTTTACTTCGTAGGTCTCAGGGGGTACATCAGGGTTAACGAAAGTCGTTTCGGTCAAAGGCAGGCGCTGGCGCTTTGCTTTCGGGGGTTGGACCATATTATCGGAGCTGAGAGGCCGTTGACGTCGACGGCTTCGGGTGGCCGTGGCGGGACCGCCTTCTTGAGCGGACGGCGAAAACATTGTATGATTAACGTGGACAGGGCTGAAGTTGGTCGCAGGCGCAGGGCTGGATGATCAAGAATAGGTTAGAAAAAGGCATGCAGCCCGGAATAGCTTCGTCTAGCAATCGTGAAAAAAAGTTGGTATCGTGTCGCGACAGGGTCAATAATGTTATCGAGGCAGATGCTCCCAGAGGAAAGTGCAAATCTGCGATGGAACTGGAAGTAGAAGAAGAAAGAGCTGTAAAAGGATCAATACGGTTGGGCGGTGATGGAGGGAAAGAAGAGAGAGGGATGTTTAGGCGGTAATAGTGGTGAACAAAAATGCAAGCGTGACGAAGCAACATGCCCATCGATCTGATCCGGGTTGGCCTTGCTTGCCCAGAAGAAAAAAAAACATGGGTTCGCGGAGGTACCTGGTACGTCGTACTCTCCACGGTGATGACCTGCGTTTCCTGGAGCACGCTGGAAGCTTGGACCAGTTTCCCCGGCGAGCTAGTGGCGCCAAGTCAAAACCGTGGATTGCACTGTACCGGGTACAAGCCACAATTACGACGCAGGGAACCGCTCACTGGTACCTAAGGGTCAAGGTGCTCTCTTCGGACAACATATATCACGGGATGAAGGTGATGAGAACTTCACATATGTAAGGTAGTTATCCACGGCAGACGTCAAGCTCACGAAATGATATCAATTGGTGGTCAATATAGCAGATCGTCAACTTCAAACCACGAGGTAGAAGTCGCAGGTTGACGTTAAAATACGGCTTCTGCGCGAGATAAAACCCCGCCTTGCCAAGTTCTTTGGTCGAACGATTGAAAGCAGGCACTGCTTTTAGAATACCTTAGAGTCAATCTTGTCACGGATTCGCACCACCCAAGGAGGGGTGTTTCGCTCATTAGAAGCCCAACATAATCATGCCGATGGAGAAGTTGTAAACAGCTCTCGGCTGGATTACTGCCTCGCTACCAAGATCCTCGGTCTAATAGGTCGATTAGAGAATGCGTACAAAATTCCGGGCCACTGTATACGGACTATGATCATACAATATGCGACGCTTCTCGACCTCTGTTACCATCACGGACCCCTTGGTCAAATACCGGTCCCTCGTGGCTACCGGAGTTTACTCGCCTGATCCTGCGCAGCACCGGTTAGCGAAACACCTCCAGGATGTCTACCAACGACTCAAAGACTACACCCCAGCCCGCGAGTACCGTGAACGGTTGAAAGAAATTACTGATCTTGCGACGAAAGCCAAGTCTGCAGACCAGAATTCGTTTCTAGCTGTCGACACGCATCCAATATGGAGGAACCCTCTATTCCGACGTTTGTTTACCGCACCCGAAGGCAATCATACCCTAGCACTCACCAGAGTTCTAACCAACCACGAGAACGCTCTGGAAATCGACTCCCCCAAGGGCCTGTTCTTGTCTGGCGAGGTCGGCACAGGTAAATCGATGCTCATTGATCTACTATCTGATGGTCTCCCCACGCACAGGAAGAAAAGATGGCATTTCAACACATTCATGCTCTATACCTTCTCACAACTCGAAAGATTTAGGCGTGCCCATCCAGAAATGACAGCAGAGGACGGGGAGTATTCACTGTTATGGATGGCGAAAAATCTGGTCGAAGAATCTCCCATTCTCTTCCTCGACGAGTTTCAGCTTCCCGATCGTGTCGCCAGCAAGATAATCAGTCACCTCTTTATCGCTTTTTTCCAGTTAGGTGGCGTCCTTGTTGCTTCATCGAATCGCATTCCCGAGGAGTTGCAGAAGGCCATCGGCGTAGAGTATACGCCCCCTGCAGCGGGAGGATTTACAAAAAACCTCTTCTCAGGAAAAAAGACTCTGAAACGTGGCGAGCTCTTCGGGACTAGCAGCGACTTTTCTGCCTTCCTGGAAGTCCTTAAGGCTAGGTGTGACTTCTGGCACATGGAAGATGCTACCGACTGGAGACGGGTTGGAGGTAGCGTGACGCCTTCGTCACATGAGACTTTCTCTCCTGGTAACAGCGACGATTCTCACTCCGTTGCGGTAAACATCAACACGACTGAGTTGGAAGGCGTCTCTCGGCAGATCGAGGAAGACTCCAAGGTCCCGGAACAAACGAAAAGGCCCGCAAACTACTATCTTCCAACGGACCATGAAGCAACATGGCGCCAGTTATGGGACATCGGCGCTTCAGGGGAATGGAGCCCGGAAACATTAATCGTATACGGGAGGAAAATTGCCATCCCCTATCAGAGAAACGGCTGCGTTTACTGGGATTTCGAGAAGCTCGTCGAATCATCTGGCCCAGCAGACTATGTCACAATGGCCTCCACGTACCATACTTTTATCGTCGACAACGTTCCTGTCCTGACGGCTCTGAAGAAGAACGAAGCCCGTCGCTTTATTACATTTCTCGACGCTCTTTACGAAGCGAAGTGTAAGCTCTTCGTCCGCGCTGCCCGCGAGCCTGACGGGCTTTTCTTTCCCGAGATGCGGGCACGTCCCAAGAAGGCACAAGATGGTTCTGCACCGGTACTTGACTCGGATGTTCTCCACTCGGAGACTATCGCCGAAGTGTACCAGGACAGCGCAGCGCCGTTCCGTCCCAATATTTCCCTTTATGACACGGCCTCTGGAACGGGACGATACGACCTGGACGAAGACTCGGAGTTTGGGCCAGAGAATATCCATAGCACCTCAGCATATTCGGGGGCGAGGGGGGGGGAAGACAAAAAGCTCGATTTCAGTGATACGAGCGCCTTTACAGGTGAAGACGAGCGGTTTGCATACAAACGCGCTGCCAGCCGGCTGTGGGAGATGTGCGGGGCAAAGTGGCATGCTCGGACGGGGAAGTGGTGGCAGCCTCTTCCGCCGGAGGCTCGACACTGGGAGCGGTCACCGGCTTTGACACCCCTTAAGGTAATCCTTGATGGAGTGGAGAAGTCGGGGAGCGATATGTTTCTGGGTCCCTCTGTCACACTTGAGGAGCCGGCTGGCCTTCAGAGGCTGCGGATCAAGAGCATTGAACAGCTCGAAAGGGAGAAATGAACATTAAACATGCATCCGTACATAAGGTAACGTGAGCAAGCAGAACGACAGTATTACAATGCAACTGCTTTCGTCAACTTAACTACTTACCTTCGTGGTAGGTAAGGAAGGAAAGGCACTGTATTTAATTCTAGGCCAGTATCACTAGGCACCATATAGGACGGACATCTATGAGGACGTTTTGGCATCCAGTGTGTAAGGGAAGGGGCAATCGAATGGAATTCTCAATCCCACAGTCGCGTCCCCCTTAGAGACTCGTCACGCCAGGCGTCCAGCTCTCTCCAATGCGGCGAATCTCGGTCTCGAACTTCCTGCTTGTGATCTTCTTGCCGCCCTTCTCCATGACCTCGTCAGGTTCGAAGAAAGGATTCTGAAGCAGGCGAATATACGCGTTCTGGATAGCGCGGAACACGACCTTGAGCTCAGCTTCGCGAAGCCCGACGCCGGAGTTGACAGCGGAAGCGGAAGCTGGCGCGGAACCAGAAGCGGCAGAGGAACTACCGGCGCCGCCCTTCCCGCCCAGGACAGAGGCGTCGACTCTCCGCCCGCGCATGTCCACCAGCACTACCATCTTGATCCCGGTGTTTGTCTCGAAGCCATAGGCAGCAAGGCGCTCGTCGACCGCGTGTAGGAGTCCCATGTCGCCTGACAGACCGGTTCCGGTTCCCGCGGCATGCCGAGCGCGGAGCTCAAAAACGTCGAGGGTTGAGGATAGAAGTAGGGAGAATTGAAGCGGGGTTCGTAATGGCGCCAACGTGTTTGTGTATGGGTTGTACGAAGGGAAGATGGAGACGTGGAGGGGGTTATTCTACATTGCAGCGAGCAAGTTAGCTGGTGGCCTTGAAAGGAGTGGGAGAGTAACAAAATACGGAGATGGCGGCATACATTGCGACCAATTATGCCTATACAGGCTATGGATGGGATATCCGTCGCCATACTGGAAACCGGCCAGGGTGTAGGACTCTGTTGGTTCGTCACTCGAGCGTGGCGGTCGATATGTTCGAGGCGTTATGGGTTACACCTTAGGTAGGGAGGTAATTAGCTAAGGCAAGGTACTTTGGTTTATGAAGCTGAAACCCCTATCTTATTCGTACTACCCGTACAATAGTGGGGTCTGGTAGCCAGAAAGGCACTCTTGCTCAATACTCAACACTCGTACGGTCGTACCTCATGGTGATGTTTGAGCTGGATTGCGGACCTACGGATAGCATCTCAAACGGCAGACCGTTAAACGAAAGAAAAAGAAGAAAAGGTGTTCATGTGTTTACATGGGGTGAACGGCCAGACGGCCTTGACGCTAAAAAGTATGAGAGAGCGCATTTTTGAACTGGTAGTAATTACTCAGTACTCTAAAACAGAACCGATGTTCCAGGCGTTTTAGGTTTATACGAATACAGGCATATATTATAGAGCCGCCAGATGAGGCCCAAGAACGACGAGAACATTGTCACTAAGGCACCTTACAAAGCGCTATTGATACATTCCAGATGGCGCAAGAACCTAAGATGACGTCTAGTCCATATCCGTCTCCTCTTCCATCGCATTTTCCGTGTCCTCGAGCCCCTTTAACACTTCTTCGATCTCGCTTGGGTCCGTGATAGCCCATACACCACCCCCCTTAACCAAGTCGCGCCCTCTCATGCCGACCTCTTTCCCTACCAAATTCCTTCCGACCTTTCCAGGTCCGATGCCTACCCATCTTCTAACCTTTTCTTCCTGGTCCAGGTATTTGATGCTATCCCACCACTCTACCGTCTCCACACACTGTCTTGCTAGTAGATCCTCCAGCTCCGCCTTGTCCTGAAACGGCCGCGCGGTCACGTTGCTGATGCAAGGTATCCTTCCGGGAAAAGTGATGATGTCGTTGCCCTCTCTGCCCCGGACCTTGCTCTTCCCTTGTAACATTTTTTGCATAACGCTCACCGCAGGTCGCATGATGGGGCTGTGGAAGGGGCTGTCGCTGTTCAGTCGAACCGCTCGCGGGTCGTGGCCGAGAAACTGCCGTACGTGGGCCACAAGCGTCTTGATTTTGGCCACATCGCCGCTCAGCACAATCTGATTCTTGCTGTTGACGTTGGCGATGAGCACCTGGTCCACCGGCGCGCGGTCCGTCGGACTCTCGCCCTCGGCCCCGGGGGTGGAATTGGGGCGGACAAAGTCGCGAACGGCAACGATGAGCTGTTCTAGATATTCCGGCTCCGTAACGACTGCCACCATGCCGTAATCACCTCCGTATTCCTCGACGGCGCGACGGGTAGCCTCCGCCATGGCCTCGGCCCGCTTGTGTACAAGATGCAGACTGTCCTCAAACTCGAGGTACCCGCCCGCCACAAGCGCGGCGAATTCACCCAGGGAGTGACCCAGGGTGACGTCGACGCGGCCCGCGACATCGAATCCAAACTCGCGCTCGAGGATACGGAGGATAAGGATCGAAGTGGCCATGATGGCCGGTTGCGCATTGGCGGTTTGTGTCAGAAGTTTATTGGGCCCGTCGCGGATGATATCCGAGAGCTTGAAGCCCAGGTAGTGGTCTATTTCTTCGACGATGGGTTTCGCGGTCGCGGGGAAGGCTTCCAGCCACGGGGTCAACATTCCCACTCTCTGCACTCCCTGGCCTAATTATAGGGCTCCGTGTCAACGATACGAGGAACAAAGATACCCGAGCAACGAACTCCGTTTGAAAGCTACCCACCTGGGAAGAAGAGGGCCGTTCGCGGCCGTTTCCCCCGTGTCGAAGCATGTCGCCGATCGCGTGCATGGTGTGCAGAAGGAGTGATCGGGACAAAGCCCCGTGCCAGCGAGAATGAAGCCGTCGTCCTCCTGATCAGTAGTGTCGGGAGGGAGGAAGATGCGAGAGCTTTCATGGCTATGTCCCAGCCAACGGCAAGCCGGGAGGCTTAGGCGACTTCGTTCATGAGGCAGGAAACGCCCTACTGCACTGGGTTAACGAATGTAAGATGCAAGTAATGTGGCATTACGCCCAAAGCCGCGCGAGAGTGAGATGCGACGTGGTTCACGGGCGCCTTCGAAGTGCGTAGAAGAGAGCGGCCTGATTTGGGTCAGATCCGGTTTCCGATCGAGTAGGATAGTATCCATACTTCGGGATTCTTTCACCTGCCTACCTAGTTTACCACACCTCGACAACGTGGCTATGGGCATCTGACAGTAGCCGACAGCCGGCCAATATTAATGTGGGGCTGTTCTATGCCGGGTCACTCCGACCCCGCAGTTACTAAGGTAATCACACCTCTAACCGCGGCTCTCTGAGCCTTTCTTACGAATAAGGTACCCAACTGACCTCACACACCGAAGAGTCCATCGACTTCGTACCTGATATAGCCCGACCTAAAGACGCATAAGTAATTCGCTGGAGGAGAGAGTCGGGATGACAACCTCCTACAAGTTACTCGTGAGTTGAGTCCACGGTATATTGCAGTGACTTGTCTTCATGCCAACTACATGGCACAATGCTGTTATCCAGAATGCCTCCCGTCGTTAAAATGCCCTCCTTCCTTTCCGCCAGTGCAAGGCACTGCCCACTCTATTAAACGGTTGGCGAACCAAAGTCCCACCATTACAAGCAAGTGATTTTATTAGGTTAACACCGTATTTCGACACCGCCGTTGCTAACTGTCAGATACTTGACGCCTTTGTAAGGCTTCACATTCTCGCCGAGCCCCTTGCTCTTTCTTGCGTCGATCATGATGCTTTCGACTTTGATCCCACTGGGTACCCATCCCTTCACCGAAAAGCTCACTGATGCAGAACTCGGCATCAAAATCTTGTTCTGCGCCACCTTCTTAGCATCCTTCTCTCCAGCACTGCCGTCCGAATCTTCCCTCCCTGGAACCGATGAAGGTGTGGTCTGGTATGGCTCGTTGTATGAAAAGCCGAACCCGGTTGGGTCAAGCTCCCGTTCATCCTCGACCGGTAGTGGCCCTACCACAGTACATCGGAGCCCGAAGTAGGTCGTCCCAGCAGAGAGCTCTTTGGTCGGGATGTGCCATTCCAATATCTTCTCCCCAGGGTTGTAACTCGCGTCGCCTTTGCTAGGCCGGACCTCCGACAGATTTCGCACATCTGCCGGCAAAGGGACCCTGACGATCAGGTCGTGCATCGAAGGAGCGCCAGGCGTCCCGGCGTATGTGCCCGCTCCGAAACCTCTCCCGGCGCCGCCGGCACCTCGCCCATATTGCGTGGATGATACTGACCGGTGCGCATTCAGCATTGTTCTGTTGACATGGACTCGCACCTCAAATTCAGCACCGACAGTGCCGAGCCCTTTCTTCATTTCGATGTCCACGGGTAGCTTGAGCGTATTTGAGCTGAGGTTCCCACTCTTCGCGTTGGTGAAAGGAAGTAGATCAACCTCGTAACCCGCTAGAATGAATCGGCCATCAGGAGGAACGAAGCTAAGCTCTCCTGGTCTCTCTTTCCAACGTGATAACCGTACGCATGGGTGAAATACAGGAAGGTCCATGATGCCTATGAGGTTATGCTTCCCGGATGGGCTCGTCAGTGTCAGGAGAATATCGGGTACACCCGACACTTTGCAGGTAAAGGCGATAGACCCGTTCGCAAAGGCTGCCAGCGGACGTCCTGACGGCGCCAAGGTGACCGAGAGAGTCTCAACTATATCGGCGTATAACTCATTGGACGTATGCCGTACATTGGCCCTCCTCCACGGCAACGCGGGAGTATTGGACGGAATGAGGGGAGGTGTGTGAGAGCCGGAGAGCGTCGTGGCTAGATTACCAGCTTTCCTGTTACCGTACGTCAGTCCCGGGACATCGCATTGTGTGTCGCGATAAACAGGGGTAGTTACCTTGGTAGGTTGATACTGCCGAGGAGCTTGCCCATCCAGCCCTCCACCTCAACCAGGTCCCTCAAGGAGTTTGGTTCGGTTGTGTTGATAGTTCCAGCGTCACACATCTCGGTCAAAAGCTGCGCAACGACATCGTACTGACTCTCAATTTTCTGCGCTATGAGAGGTGCGCCGAGGAAGTCTTCGAAGGCATCGATGATGCGATGAATGAATTCGAGAACGAGAAGGGGTTCGACTTCAGAGGACGAAGTCGCGAGGAAAAGGAGGTTGGCATGATCGAGACCAAACACAAGGGTTGGAGGGTTCGTATTCGGGAGGTAAATCAAGTTAGGCCGAGGAGTTGGGTGCTCTAGGTAGAGGGGAAGGAGATGCTGCGCCGAGAGTGGTCGCTGTGTGTAGGTATGCGACAAGATGGCATGGCTGGCAATTATCAGTTTTGTACTTGCTCGCAAGATCAAGTAAACGCACTTGTGGTCATCGTAGATGTGCAACGCTTCTATTACGCCATTCATTGTAGAAGTAAGCCCGTTGGGAAGTGCCAAGGCGGGTAGCACTTTGGGCGGCGGTGATGCTGGAGAAAGCGAGTGTGGTGGGGGAAAGCTCCAGGGACACGCGACTTACGAATCCAAGCATCTGATAGCGGGCGATGACATAATGGCGGGCGGTGTCCCTCTTCAGCCAATCAGTGGAGGTGAATCGGACCTCGGAGTTTACATACGCAGCACGGAATAGAAATTAGCGGGTACCTGGGGCCTCTGTTCTGGAAATCGAATCGTCGGTATCCCTAATTCTCGAGTTCCTCTTTTACAACAAGCAAGGAGGAACCACATCATCAGCACACACCGTCATAATGGCAAAAGGAGATGTGCCGACCCTGGGCAGTCTCGATAAGCCTGAAGATCTCAACAATCTTCTGCGTGCAGACCGTGGTGATGACTGCACTGCTTGCAGAGTGATTGGTCAGTACTTTAGCTCTTCCCATTGCCTCACAAGCCTTCTTCGGTGGCACATACGACGCTGGTTGCTAACTGCGGAGATCTACAGGCGGTGGCGCATTTCTGGCACTCGCCGGTTATAACTATGTGTCAGGCAATGCACACCTCCGGAGGCAACAACAAGCAATACTACAAAGCAAGTCGATGTTCGGCATGAGGAGTAGAAAATCCGGCGTTGCAGGCATCTCCCTGGGGTTGGCATATCTCGGCATCTGGAGGCTATTCATGTAAAAAAGAATTGGGGGGAGAAGGCCAGATGGCGATCAACCGACGCAACCGACATATGAACAGTCCGCTCCATACACGGAGCCTGCTGCTCAACCACAGCTGATGGCGAGGATCGGCCGACTAGGATACACATCGTCAGCTACCGGCCGAAGCTAGTCCAGCGCGACTCTCGGATCTCCGAATGCTTCAGTGCTAGGAGGGAGCTGCAAGGCTAGCCCGCGATCAAGGCGCACCTATCACCTTCCTGGTGGGTGTCTCGGGGAGGTTTCTGTTCACTGCCGTGAGCACCTCTATGCACTTTGTACCACCGCCTGTCACAACATATATCTACTCAGTACTTGAATATTAATCGACTCGACAAGCTTTTGTCGCCAAATCTGGATTGGGCATAACGAGAATCTTGCCACGAGCGACAGTGGAAGCACGGATAATCATGCCACACCCCTGGACGCCCCTATTCCGACTGCGCATACACAGTAGTCATGAACTCATACCCATCACTTCTCTACGCTTTTTTCCGCTTCCCCCTCCCCCCCTTTCATGCTACCAGGACACGGGGAAGGCCAAGCTGTATTATGCATGGGCATACAAACTAGTTCAGAGTGGGCTCAAGCTCTCTAATGTGGAGAAGATATACGTGACTTAAATAATTTTTGTCATGAGTACCGGTAAGAAGCTAGCGGCGCAGCTCAACACTTGATCTTCCTCCGGGCAAGGAAAGATGTCAGGCTTGGGAGTCTTCAGGAGACAAACGTAAGCTTATCAGTCTACCACTACGCTAGCCCGGAGGTCGAAATCAGAAAGACGAGTACGACCACCCATCGCATAGGGGCCGAGGCTACGGGCTTACTGCCCTCTAACCTCAAATTACCTCAAGACCTCCTGATGAATTACTCGGAAGCTCTCAATACCGACAGGAACATCATCTACGAAGCACAATATGAGGCCGCCACGAGGGTACAAATCTAACAACTCCAGAGCGAGAAAGGTACGATAAGGACTCTTGTCAAACATCATCTTAACCTTAGCGATGCTGTCGTGATTACCAGTTCGCGTCGGTGGTTCAACGTGTGAATCCCTATCAGTAGCGGAGCCGTTGACTAAGCTGATGGTATGTGGGTCGCCAAGTTTTCAGGACGTCGACTCTGTATCCGCAACTTCGTCCCAAGTAGCATACTTCCATGGCCTTGTAGAATCAATAACGTCGTAAAAGTAACCAACCTTTTTTTTCTTGGGTGTGTCTGTGTGTGTATTATTGTATCGTCAAGCAATGTGTGATCGCAAGGAGTCTCAGATCTGTGTGATGGTGGAAAATACAGTGTAGTGAGGTCTGTCCCTTTGTCAATGACAGAACGGCTGTGAGTGTCAGGTACCTTGTGGGGGTGCAATTTCAAGTCCCGACAACACCAGAAATTCTGTACCTTATCCCTTCAACACTTCAACCATCTCATCACGGAACCCATTGGAGACGAATTTCTGGCGCAACGAGACAAAACAAAAAAAGCCCCCCACTGATAGATACCCATCATCCAGCTCACACCGATACCCATACAGGATCAGGCTCTTGCACGGCAGAGCTTGCCAATTTCATAGTCAATATGCCCATCACAATACTCAAACCTCGGTCGATACCTCAAACCCACGATCATACGTTCCATGCATCAGACTCAGACTCAGACTCAGACTCTGGAGGTGTTGATTTGGATGGCGACGTTAGTATGAGCCGAGCATCAAAACGTGGGCGGAGCGGAGACCACGAAATTGTGACACCAGGCGAAGTTATTACAGACGACCCCCAGTGGATGAGGTTAGTCAAGCAAACCTTCCTAGACCTCCGCTCTCACTCTCATTCTTTCTTTCTTTCTTTTTTTTTCTTTTTCGTCCCGTACTCAAACTTTTCACCCTTTCCACATTTCCTCCACTTCCACGGAGGAGCAAAATTGACGACCTTCCCAGGGGCCACGGGACCTACGTCAGCTCTGCAGAGGGAGCCATCGTCTCCTCCGTGGCAGGCACGGTAACCCGCACCAACAAACTTCTCTCCGTCCGGCCTCTGCGGGCCCGGTACACCCCGGAGATCGGCGACTTGGTGGTCGGGCGCATCGTCGAGGTGCAACCAAAGCGGTGGCGCGTCGACGTGGGGGCCAGCCAGCTCGCGACCCTACAGATCAGCGCCATCAACCTGCCCGGCGGCATCCTGCGCAAGCGTACCGACACGGACGAGCTGCAGATCCGCTTCTTCTTCGCCGAGGGGGACCTTCTCGTGGCCGAGGTCCAGACGCTGCACGCCGAAGGCGGCGCCTCCCTGCACACCCGCAGCTTGCGGTACGGAAAGCTGCGCAACGGCGTCTTCTGCGCGGTGAGTGGTATCGGCGGCGGCGGCGGCGGCGTCGTGCGTGCCAAGAGACAGAGCTGGACCATGGAGGCGGCAAACGGTGGCGGTGCCGTCGAAGTTATGCTCGGCGTGAACGGCTACATCTGGATCAGCAAACATGTGGATGGCGAGGTTCCCACCGAGGGCGTGGGGCTGAACAGGATGGAAGAGTCGGTCAGTGCCAACGTCTATTCAAGCCAGAATGACCGGATTGAGGCCGAGACCATGCGGGAGATTGCCCGGATCCGGAGCGTCATCTTCGCCTTGGTCGACAACGGGCTCCGGGTGGACGAGGAAACGGTTACGGAGGGATATAGGGTGGCCGTTGAGATGGGTCATGAGACGCCCGACGATGACATCTACCTTGGCGGTGAGAGGGGCCAGAGATTGGCGGCTGTCCTCATTGCCAGAGATGACTAGTGGGTGTGGATAGGTAGGCGGCGGCACTTGGGAGAGAATCCCACTATCTACCAAACAAATTACGAAAAAAAGAAAGAAAAAAGGCTATCGTTATTACTCGGTCTTGTTCTCATAGACGATTTGGCCATCGAGGCATCTTTCTCGTCACGCTATGCATTCATTTCAGAACAGGCAAGGTATATATACGACCATCCCCCAAACGCCGCGTCCCATGATATGCTTCGGATATCTGCTTCGCCTCCAATCGTGCTTAATCAACCCTGTGTGAGGACCGCCCCGGCAAAGTATCCCTTGTTCTCCAACACCCCCCTATCTCTTATGAAAGCTGTATACTTGACCACCCATTGTGGGGCGAGATCCCCCTTGAGTGCGCCATTGTCCTCGCCGTTGCTGTTTTCAACGGTTGGGTCGGCGAGGACGCCAGCACCCTGCGGCCCCTGACCGAGCAACTCCCGAAGCGTGCCCTGGGGCAAAATGTCGGTGCAGTCAGTGTGAACGAGAAGGTTGATGCCCTCCGCCCTGGCAAGGTCGATCAGTGGCGGCGGCACGTTGCAGCAGTCTCGCGTGTTGATCTGATCAACAACGGGTCGAATCTTGACACGCCTCAGGAAATTGGACAATTTCTCTGTGCCGAACTCGGAGATCCCCAGTGCCGCAACTTCCCCCCGCTCGTGCAGCGCCTCGAGCGCCGCCCATGTAGCGACTTCGGCCTCGAGGTCCCCTTGCGACGCGTTGCGCTGGTCGGCCTGCCACTCGCAGTCGCCTTCGAAAGACATGTCCGGGAAACTGGCAATGAGCAAGTCAATGTGTTGAACGCCGAGCTCCTTGCGGACTAGGGAGAGGGCTTCCTCTATATAGCGCGGGCGCTCGGCGACCGGAGCTGATGGGAGAAAGAAGAGCTTGACTGTGATGTCGTAGTCGGCGGTGTCCTCTTGCAGGCCGGCGAGGGACCAATCTATACGAGGAACGTAAAGGGTCTGGCCGTCGTCGCTACGATCGGTCCAGATGTCCAGGTGAGGGCGGGGACTGCCCAGGTTATTCTTATCATCAATGCGGGGCAGGGCTTGGCCGTTGAGTTGGTGGCCGCCGTTCGCATCGCTTGTTGCTACGTCGCCATCGGGCTCACCGTTGCGGACCGGAGAGGCGGCTGCTGAGTAGTCCTGCCGAGCGGCGAGAAAATTATTGCGCAGCGATTTGGTGAGTTCGAGATTGGACCTGAACGACCCTGGTTTGCGGAGTAGGGAGGGGCCACCAGAGACAATGTTCCTGATAGATTTGTGAGATCGCCAATCAGCATTCGCCTTCGTTGCCTCGTAAACTGCGATTTCAGAGACCGGGATGGAGCTTCGGACGGGGCACTGTCATAACACAAATAGTCGAGGACAAGGAGGAATACACACCCGGTTGAGAGGATTAATTTGGTCATGGCTGGTTGCGTGCGACAGACAAGGTCGAGAAGTATAATTTCGGACACGCACGCTCTGATGAGAATGAGCCGGAATATCCGGGGCGTCCGGGCAGCCGTGTCTAACTGCCAAGCACGCCTTAAGCGAACAAGATGGCGTGCGCGAGGTCTTTCCACACGAAGCGGCGTTCTTGCAGTGAACGAGAACAACGCCGGTCACCGGTGCAGGAGGTGTCGCAGCTTATTAACTGGAATGGACCCAGAGAAACGGCGTAAGCTTATTAATGATGCATGGATAGACCCGTGTCGTAGGAAATGGGTGGGCTACCTAATCAGGTAACTTCTGCAGGCGTGGTGATGCAGATGGGAAGAATAAGACATCGAGAAAAGGGCAGATGAAGAGTTCAGTGACGGAATTCGAAGTCAAAGTAGAAGTACGAAGTCTAAAATAAGGTACCTATTGATTATATTAAGTACGTCTTTCAAAGAACTTATCCGGCCCACAACAAAGGGGCCCACTGAGGTAGATAGACCATCCAGAGGAAAAAGTTCTCGCCAGAGATGCGAAATGGACTTCTTTCTCCGACCGTTGGAAACTAATCCAACTTCAAGGGCAGTCCGGTGTCGACCTGGTGTTGTGCTAATTATAATGGGCACTTGCCTGCTGAACGAAGTACAGAGTACCGTGTAGCAATGGCGTGTAGCAATGGCAGGGTGAAAGTGACTTCGTTTCTATGTACTATGTCAGCCCTAGGTACGGGTGCGCCGTATCGTATCTACCGTAGGTACCTTATCTCCGTAAGGCACTCGTATATCCAATCACTGTGCGGACAGGACTTGGACATGTCCCGCCAAATGTGTTGTTTGTCAGAACGGTCATGGTAAATCTTCGGCAAATTGTCTGGATCATGGGGGTTCCCCGAAGCATGGTAGGTACTGCTGCTGAGTATGGATTAATGGTTACAGTTGCAACTCGAGGGTTCAGTAGAAGTCCAGTCACCTCTTCCCCTTCCCTTGTCCATACAACATCGGCATAGAATCAGCAGCAAACGGTTTTGACACATAGCGAAACATTCGGCTCTACACCTCCTTTACTCTTACAGCCGTCGGCGTGCGGTTTCTGTCACTGTCGCCTCTGTCGCGCTCCGCCTTGATTGCTCTCCTTGCGTCCGGAGGGGTTTGTATCGAACACAACATGGCGATCCAGTATGGCTTCCTCCCGGCACCCTGCATTCCTTCGCCGACCTACCTAAAGGCTGCCTATAACATAAACCATTTTCAGCATCAGTCCAGCTAAGAGACATTCGACATAGGTACTTGATCCTCCTCTCCAGGCAAGGCAAGGTGGTAAGTTCAGCTTGAGAAATCTCGCCCCTCCATTCCGTATACGGCCAACCGTCTGACTTGATTATCGCATCACAGCGCCTTGCCAAGTGGTTCACTACTTTGTCGCCAAGAGAGAAGGCCAAGATTGTGAAGGACGTGTCCCAGCTGGTTCTGGCTCGCCGAACCCGCATGTGCAACTTCCTGGAGTATAAAGGTAAGCCATACACTTGTCCGACGCGAGCACATCTTTGGTACTGGTAGCATGCTAATTCTGTGGAACTGGGCAACATCAGAATCGAAAATTGTTTACCGCAGATACGCATCCCTCTTCTTCATCGCTGGCGCCGACTCGGACGACAACGAGCTCATCACGCTGGAGATCATTCATCGATACGTCGAGCAAATGGACAAATACTACGGCAATGTGTGCGAACTAGATATCATCTTCTCTTTCACCAAAGCGTACTATATACTCGACGAGCTTCTGCTGGCTGGTGAGCTGCAGGAAAGCAGCAAGAAGAATGTGCTGCGTTGCATATCCCAACAGGATGCCCTGGAAGACATGGAGGTATGTTTTCCCCTGTTGCGCTTTCCTCTTATCCCCCTACCGCTTCGCGGCCGCGTCCCCCAGTTCCGCACGCCCTTGTCGCTGTCCCGTTCTTCCTCACATCATCCGTTCTCCTTTGCTGGGGATGGAATGTTCGATGTAGCCAGTGGACCAGCAAGGCCGTAGCCCTCTACCTTCGTTTGCATTTCGAGCTGACTCCCCCGCCCTCCCACCCCCGGCCCTTCAACCAGGTCGAAGACGAGGTTACAAAGATCATGTGACGCCCTTTTACAATTGTATCCGGCATCTGGTTGGTGGATCTTACATCGCGATGCCTGACAAGAGTCCTCTTTCGGACCTCTTTTTTCCGAATTTCGATCTCAGACGCACGAGTTTCTATCACCGTTCCGACACGCGGCGCATGGCAGTACACTGGGCTAATGGGCACGTCCTCTCGATTGAATTGCAGGAGACGGAAGACGCCCGGAAAGCTCTGAAAGACATGGGTCTTATTTGATGAGAATTTTGACCAGTCGGCCGGTCGACCGGCGAACCCAACCCCCCCTTTCCCCCGGGTTATAGCTGTCTTGGGCAGTGCCGAACTATACTGGGCACAATGAGGAGGAGAGAACGAAGAGAACATCAACCAACGACCAGCATGATGAAATGGGCGTTGTTGATTTTCACATGCATAGATCTTGAAGATCGAACCAAAGGGCCATCTCTGAATCAAGCGACGGGACACTGGTGGTTGGTTGATTATGCGTCCAGAAATGATTACGAAGTACGAAGAAGTCCTCGAAGCCGCATGCAGACACATTATTGGTTTGATTCACATGTACTTGGTAGACATAGGGGAACAAAGTTAATTACAAGCACCAACGCATTGGTGCGAGAAACATCTTGGAGACTATGGCCAAAAGCCAACAATTGGAAGACACGTTGTTGCGATGCGATGCGGTGGTCACAACCGTTACGAGCCGTGCTTACAAAGTACCTAGGTAGAGCGGATTGCTTTTCAGAAAGTACTTTACCTTACCTAGGTGGGGACTTGGGCGGCTCTGGGCTGGACGAGGAGAGGGACGAGCGGCTGCTGCCAAGGTATCGGTACTTACCGGTCGCTACTCCGTATGGCCAGTCACGGGACAATCAATACCTACATCACGTCATAGGCGTAACTTGCACCGTCTTCTCGTCTATTCGTACCAACATAAACAAAAACCCTCGAGCAGTACGGAGCATCCGTCGTTATCTTGGTCTTGTCGCTTTCTCGGCGCCATCCATCATGCCAATTACTCCCGTCTTTTGGTTGAATTGATCTCAACAAGCATTTGCCCTCGTCTCTTTAGCGCCATTTGCGTCCCTCATCAAGAAACGAAACCGACATCTCACCAGGGATCTCGATCGAGGTCGAACTCGACAACCAGCCACCTCGGCGTCTTTAGCTGCCGTTTAGCTCGCCACAGCCCACGGAGGCTTGATGAGGTGAGGCAAAACCCTCCCTATCAGTCTCCTTTTCCAGTCCCACGTTCTTTCATTCATCCCACCTTAATCTTATCCCGTCTTTCTGCCTCTTGTCTTGATTACGACAAATACATTACCTACCTTACCTTACCTTGCCTCACCTACATAAGAGTCACACATGCAATGCACCTAGTGGCGCACATCAACCTGGCTTCCGGATACCAACGTCAGACCAGCCCGTATTGTGAGAGGGGAATGTCGAGAGGAGATGCCACTGAAACGCCAGTGGCACGCCTCGTCAGACCACCCATTCTGGCTTCCCTCTGGATATAGAGGTGACAGCTATGGGATAAGCGTATGGGGATTGAACAAGAGCAAAGGAGGCGTGATCCATGAGAAGTCCCTTGGGTTCATGCCTGTCATCCAGAACTGCGCTTACTCGCCTTTCCCTTGACCAAGCTTGCGCCCTCGTACCCCTCGTTTCCCCCCGTCTTTCCTTTGCTTTCCAGGAGCTTTCCTGTCCCTTATCATCGAACTGGGAGCTGTCTCGGCCGAGTCCGAACTTTCTTCCCATCACGATAACTCCACTTCTTTTGCCCACAACAGGAAGATTTGGGGATGCTTTCTTCAACGTGCCCGTCTGGGGATATCGACCGATATACCGTGAACCCTCTCAAGTCCCAGACCCCAGATACCAAATCCCACATCCTGCGCAACCCGAGTTCTGTTTGCTCTTGGACCCCGAAATTGCCGCCGCTTTGGTGGCTTTTGTCGTGTTTTAGCCTCCTTCCCATCCACCCGGGAAAGTTCCCAGCCATACCGTTCAAAATATCTCTTCACCTCCCGTTACGCTCTGGCCCATAGACACTTGCCAACAGCTTCCAGCCTCATATTCCAGCCCCATACTTCATCCTCACTCTTGCCGTTTTGCTATTATATGGGTTTTTTATCCGGATATTCTGTCTCTGTCTGTCTACCTTCGTGTATCTGGGCTCCAATGTTCCGTCATTAGCTTCCCCGGCACCCTTTTCTTTTCTACAGTACCGTCACCGTCAAGCCCTTGGCGGTACTTTGGCTGGGAGGCAACCGGCATCACGCCTCTCACTTGATTGATCCTTGTCTCCTGTCACGCCATCGTCCGTGGAGCACGAAGCTCCTACGTCCACTCACTAACTATGATCCCCAAGACGATGGTCTCCAACGAGGTCTATTTACTTCCCCTGAACGACGACGGCTCGCCCCAAGTCCCCGGCGAATACATTTACATCGCATCCAATTCTCGCGAGCGTATAATCGTCCGCTTCACCATCGAGGGCACATCTTCCATCTGCCGCCATGGGAGCCTATGGGTCAATATACCGGAGGAGGGCGCTGAGTTTCGTCGGGACAAGTTCAGGGAGTTCAAGTAGCCCCCCCCCCCCCTCCCCTTTTTCACCTCTCGCCCCCTTTTCTAGAACTGCTTTCCGAACAGCGATCCTGACGTTTCACGCTCGAAAGGCTCATCCCCGACTTCAACCGTACGCTTGAGATCTCGATTCCCATCTTTCAAGCTGGCGCTTATTGCTTCTACACCACCTACGCCGAACTCCCCGACCTAGCTAGTGACTTGCGCACCGATGCGCTGGCCAAATCGACCTACAAGGAGACTCCACGTTATTACATCGATGTGGCCCCCAGGCTCGTACTCGACGGTCGGCCACTGCCCCTTCCTGCGCTGTCAGTTTTCACGGTCATTAGCAAGTTCATGGGCGAATACCCGAAGGATTGGGAGCGTCATCTCGGCGGCATCAGCGATCGCGGCTACAACATGATTCACTTCACCCCACTGCAAGTCAGGGGTGCTTCCAACTCCCCTTACAGCATATACGACCAGCTAAGCTGGGATCCGGTTTGTTTTCCGCATGGTGAGAAAGACGTTCATGAGATGGTGGACAGCTTGGAGAAGAATCACTCCCTGTTGAGTCTCACCGACATCGTCCTCAACCACACCGCCCATAACAGTGCGTGGTTGGAGGAGCACCCGGACGCCGGCTACAACTTGATCACGGCTCCCTGGCTCGAGTCGGCATATCTCTTGGACACAAAGCTCTTGGAACTCAGCTCCAACCTGCAATCGCTTGGTCTCCCAACCCAACTCAAAAGCACCGACGACCTCTTGTTGATCATGGATGCCATCAAGAAACAGGTCATTGGCAAAATCCGTCTCTGGGAGTTTTACGCCATTGATGTCGACCGAGACGTCGACGCTGGTGTGAAGGCTTGGGTTGCAGGTCGTGTCGAATTCCCGGAAGACTCTCTGGGTCCCGATGGTTTTATCGGCTTGAAGAATGCCAGCCTCAAGGAACAAGCCGAATTTATTATCAAGTACGGAATACTGAACCACGATCGTCTTGGGGAGCGCTACAGGAGGACAGTCCACCCCACTGTGGCCGCAGCCCTCCTGTCTGCCATCTTCGGCCGCTACGAGGGGGAAGGAGGCCCAACGCCGGACCGATCAGCGGCCGAAACCAGACTCGCGTCGATCCTTGACGAGGCCAACTTGCCTTTCTATAAAGAATATGATGCGGAGATCAATGAGATACTAGAACAGCTTTTCAACCGCATCAAATATTGTCGCCTCGACGACCACGGACCTAAACTGGGTGAGGTCAACGACAAGAATCCGCTCATCGAGACCTACTTCACCCGCTTGCCGCAAAACAGTGTCACTTCGAAACACAAGAAGGAGGAACTTGTCCTCGTGAACAACGGATGGGTCTGGGCGGGTAACGCTATGATCGATAATGCCGGCCCTCGGTCACGCGCTTATCTCAGGCGAGAAGTCATTATCTGGGGTGACTGCGTCAAACTTCGGTATGGCGACAGCCCGGCTGACAGCCCATTTCTCTGGGACTACATGACGACGTACGCTCGGACGTTGGCCAAATATTTCGCAGGCTTGAGGATCGACAATGCTCACTCCACCCCTATCCATGTCGCCGAGCACATCCTAGACGAGGCGCGGCGAGTCAGGCCTGATCTCTATGTGGTTGCAGAACTTTTCACGGGCTCTGAAGAAATGGATTATGTGTTCGTTAAGAGACTGGGTCTGAGCTCCCTCATCCGCGAGGCCATGCAAGCTTGGAGCACCGGCGAGCTAAGCAGGCTTGTGCATAGGCATGGCGGAAGGCCCATTGGGAGTTTTGAGGTCGATGAACTTCTGAGGGTCGATTCCAAGACGTCGGTCAGCCCTACCGCTTCTCACGCTTCTTACGCTTCTCAGGGCGAGTCTGAGTTCGATGACTCGAAGTTCTCGTCACGCGACATCATCCGCAGGATCAAGCCAGTGCCTGTGCACGCCCTCTTTATGGACTGTACCCACGACAACGAGACGCCGGCGCAGAAGCGGGATGCTCGGGATACCCTACCGAACACTGCCTTGGTCGGCATGTGCGCGAGTGCCACCGGAAGCGTCATGGGATACGATGAGATCTACCCAAAACTAGTCGATCTGGTCAACGAGACGCGACTGTACACCTCTGAGTCTTCCGACAAGCCCGTCAGGATTGGCGGAGGCAAGAATGGAATTGGCGGCATCAAGAAGCTTCTCAATCAGATCCACACGCTCATGGGCAAGGATGGCTACGACGAAACGCACGTCCACCACGAAGGTCAGTACATCACGGTCCATAGGGTACACCCGGAGTCGAGGAAGGGCTACTTCTTGATCGCCCATACCGCATTTCCAGGCTACGGAAATGGAAATGGCGCGTTCAACCCGGTTCATCTCACTGGAACGCGGGCTCGGCATTTGGGAAGCTGGATGCTGGAAGTAGATGCGACCGAGGAGACGAAGAGGAAGGTGCTCGAAGATAAACGCCATCTCAGGGGCCTTCCAAGTCGGGTTGTCGACGTACCCGGCGTCCGCATGGAAACCAAAGGCAAAGACACGATCATTGCGGTGCTTGACCAGTTTCCGCCTGGGAGCATCGCCCTCTTCGAGACTTGGATTCCCGCCGCCGAACATTCTACTGGACTCGACAGCTATGTGACTTCAGGGGCCAAGAAGGCCTTTGCGGGTCTCAGCCTCGTCGATCTCAATCTGTTGCTGTACAGAGGGGAAGCCGAAGAAAGGGATAGTAGCAACGGCAAAGACGGCTGTTATGATATACCCGGCCATGGCAAGTTGGTGTATGCTGGCCTCCAAGGCTGGTGGAGTCTACTCAAGGACATCATTTCCGAGAACAACCTAGCCCATCCGCTCTGCCAGCATTTGCGGGAAGGCCAATGGGCGTTGGACTATATCGTTGGTCGACTCGAGCGGCTCGCCTCTACGCCGGGCCACGAGAGGCTGGGCAAACCGGCTGTGTGGTTCAAGGAGAGGTTTGATGCGCTTCGGCGCATTCCGAGCTTTTTGCTGCCCCGGTACTTCGGCCTGGTGGTGAGGACAGCGTACAGGGCCGCATGGGAGCGCGGAATCGAACTCATGAGCGAGAACGTCAGAGACGGCCAGTGGTTCTTGCACAGTCTGGCCATGGTCGGGGTGCAGCTGACTGGCACGGTCAAGTCTGCTTCTCTGTATCCGAAGACGATTGTGCCGTCAATGTCCGCCGGTCTAGACCATTTTGCCGTAGAATGGGCGCGGTGCTGGGGACGTGACATCTTCATTTCCCTCCGGGGCATGTACCTCGGCACGGGACGCTTCGACGAGGCAAGGGAGCACATACTCGCTTTCGCCAGCGTGTTGAAGCATGGACAGATCCCCAACCTTCTGAACAGCGGGACTGCTCCTCGATACAACTCGCGAGACTCGATCTGGTTCTTCCTTCAATGCATCCAGGAGTGTGTCAAATTCGCACCGGAGGGCTTTGATTTGCTCCGGGCAAAAGTGAAGCGGAGGTTCCTCCCTTACGACGATACTTGGTTCGACATGGACGATCCGCGAGCCTACTCTGAGGAAAGCACAATCGAAGAAATCATCCAGGAAGCACTGCAGAGACACGCCGGCGGCATGTCATACCGCGAAGCCAACGCTGGCCCGGGACTCGATTCCCAGATGACCGACGAGGGCTTCAACATTGATATCAAGGTCGACTGGGACAATGGCATCCTTTTTGGTGGCAACCAGCATAACTGCGGTACCTGGATGGACAAGATGGGCGAGAGCACTCGCGCGGGATCTAAGGGTGTACCTGGGACACCGCGCGATGGCGCAGCGGTCGAGATCACGGGCCTCCTCTACAGCACACTTGCCTGGCTGTCCAAGAGTCACGCAGAAGGGAAGTACAAGTATGACAGCGTTACGCGAACCGACGGTTCGTCCATCGGCTTCGATGCCTGGGCCGACCTGATCAGGGCCAATTTCGAGCGATGCTACTTCGTGCCCCTTTCGTCCAAGGAGGATGCGCAATACGATGTGAATCCGGCCATCATCAACCGCCGCGGGATCTACAAGGACCTCTACCGCTCCGGTAAGGAGTACGAGGACTACCAGCTCCGGCCCAATTTCCCCATCGCCATGGCTGTGGCGCCGGACCTGTTTGATCCCGGCCACGCGATCCACGCTTTGAGCGTCGCCGACAAGGTCCTCCGAGGCCCCACGGGCATGGCGACACTCGACCCGGCCGACCTGAATTACCGGCCGTACTACGTGAACAGCGACGACAGCGACGACTTTGCCACCGCGAAGGGGCGCAACTACCACCAAGGTCCCGAATGGCTGTGGCCGACGGGCTTCTTCCTGCGGGCGCTCCTCAAGTTCGACCTGCAGCGTCGGGACACGGAGGAGGGGCGGACCGAGGCGTTCCAGCAGGTCACCCGGCGGCTCATGGGATGCAAGAAGATGATCCGCGAGAATGTCTGGGCCGGTCTTGCGGAGTTGACCCAGAAGAACGGCGAATTCTGTCCTGATTCGGTAAGTCGGAATTCCCTAACCCGTGATCCAAAAAGCTGTCAAGGCTTTGCGAAAATGTAAGAGAGCCATAGAATCCGAACTAATACGGGGGCCTTGTCTCTTCCCTTGGTAGTGCGGTACGCAAGCCTGGTCTGCGGCCTGTCTCATCGACTTGTACATGGACGCAGCGAAGGAACAGGGTGCTAAAGGAAGTTTCTTCCTGCCCACGCGGTCGAAGTGAGGGACCGGGGGGCGGGCGGGTGGGAATGGGAAGGCAAGGGGGTACTGCTGGCTTAGTTGAGGGCTGCCGATAGAGAGAATGACTGGACAACAGAAAGTAGGAGCATTGCTTCTAGACTAGAGTCCAGATACTCGCAATACAGGTGTTGTTGATTGTTGTTGTATTCATAATACAGTAAACCCCAACCCCTCCCCCCCAAAGGGCATTCCGCAACACTGACAGTTCTGTCTTCACGTGGCACATTTCAAGAGTTCTGTTGCCATGAGCTCGCCCTCACAGAACCTGTCCAGTGCACAGTGCACTCGTGCGTTTCCTTCCCTCGCGATTTATACGCCGCTGTAGTAGACGACCCCGGTACAGTCAAGAATAATGCAATTCGGTTGGTGAGTTCTTATAAGTGTACAGAATACTGGAAGGGGGCGATGAACAGATGATATTGGCCAACTCCACGCGTGAGATGATGCTAAGACGACCGTGTACCTAAAAGAGAAATAAGTGCCAAAGCCAGACCACAGTGTATATATCCCCCTTAAAAGACAAAGAAAAAGTATAACAAACATGCTGCTTTTGTGCCATGGTCGAACACCCTTCCGTATCCGACCTCCATCCAGTCCTTCTTTCGCCCTGGCTAGGCCGCTTCGAGAAGGATGGGTCGTGACTAGCCAAATATAACACAATGGAGAAAAAAAATAACAATGAAAGAAGACGCGATAGTGGAACGATGTGCCTAGTTCGGTCCGCCTGGAATAGTCGTCGTTAACCGTTCCGTCCTTGTATCCCGTTGCCAGCCGCCTCGGTCCCTCCCTTGAACGCCATCTCGCCTGGGTAATCACCGTGTAAAGACCGTCTTTTTTGGGGGGTGTTTGGAAGTTGACATATAAAGTAGGTCGTTTCAGAAATCCGGTCCGTCCCTCAAATATGCGTCGTTGCGGGACAGGCATTCGTGTACAGGGCAAAGAAGAAAAAAAAATTGGAAGAAAAAAGGCAGACAAGCCATAGAACCTTTTCTCACGTACGGTCCCTGACCACCCACTTCTTCTTCTCTTTTGACTGGTCTGAGTAGGCGACAGCGGTGCCGGGCATGAAGACGCCAGGACCGGAGCGATCGGAGCTGTTCGGCGAGCCTCCTCCAGACTGGCTGGCGTGTAGGGAAGAGCCGCCGGCGGTGGGGAAGGCTGTCGCGGATGTGTGCTTGCCGGACTGACTGGCGCGTTCCTTGCGCTTCAGGTAGCGGCGGCGCCAGATGCAGGCGCCGATCCAGATGGCGGCGATGCCGACAACCATGATGACGATGCCAATAACCCAGCGCCAGTGGTGGGAAATCCTGCATAACGGGAGAGTGGTCAGCGTTGGAAGTGCAGAAAGGAAGGATCCGTCAATGGTAGCAGTCGCGGTCGACTCACCAATCGCCACCGCCGCCGCTGGTTTGGTTATCAGAGTTTGGGGGAGGAGAAGCTCCGGCGCCGGGATCCGTGTTGGTGGTAGCAGTACTAGTAGCGGTTTCTCCGCCTTCAGCAGCATTGCAGAAGCTGGTGAACCAACCCTGGACGCTGGAGAACTCGGCATCTTGACACTGGGCGTAATCGCAGACGCCGCGTATTCCTTGTCTCCAGGGCTGTAGCGGGCCAAAATTGCAGAAGCAGTCGGTGTCTACCTGTTCGGCGGCCGGAGGAACACAGGCACCGTTTGCATCGTGGAGAACGCCGCAGCTGAAAACGCAATCGGGGAGGTCATTGAAGGGGACGAGAGTTGTTGATGGACCGTTGTCTTGTGGGGCTGTTGTACAGGACGTCAGTGTCCACAAGAAAGCGCGAACAAGGGTACCACAAAACTAGAAACAGTATCACCTACCCATTGTTTCTTTATATTTTGGAGGAGTTGAGTTAAAGAGGGAAAGTCGGGGAAACTCGCCAGAGACGAGATTGCGACAGAAGCTTTGCGAGGTCAGGTCTCCAACGCGGGAAAGGGGGACGGAGTGAGATGATGCTGACGCCAAGACCGGGCTTGTATGGGAAAATCGCGGGAAAGATCCACGAAGACTCCGGGGGTGCGCAACACCGTAAGGACGGCGATCGAAGACGAACGAGCGCCGAAAGAGGCTGTGTGGATGGTGGAGGTGTGAAGGGAATTGAATAGGAGGCCGCCCTGCTACCGGAACGCGGTAGGGAAGCGAGAGATTCGGTTGGTTCGATTTGGTTCGATGATTCGGATGCTTTTCGCGGTTGATAGCCGATTGGTGCTTGATTTATGGTGAATGACGACTCGATGCAGGTGAAGGTGTACGACCGAGGTATCGAAGGCGAGACGGATGTCCAGGATAGTGAGAAGATTGTTAAAAATCCCGAACGGAATCAATTTAATCACTCAGATGGTTGTCTCGGGCGGAAAGGACTTCGAGCGGCTCGATCCTTAGTTTGGGTTGGCAGGAAAGATAGTCGGCGACCGAGAGAAAACAACGAGCGACAGACAGTGTTATGTTGGGTCTGGTGAATTAACCGTCCGCAAAATGCAGTAAAAGGTCAGCTCTCGTCGACGGCGAAGCGAGGGTAAACCGTTATTGACGGTCAGTCGGACTTGAGACGAATAAGCCCAACGGTGAGAGATGGAACTGGTGTAAACCGGAAGATTGGGGAGATTGAGAAGATAGGTGTGAGATGGTTCGAAAGGATCGAGGTAAGAAGCATAAAATCACGCGAGACAAGAGAGAGGGAAGTCGAGACCCAACAGGCATTCAAGCACGGGACGAGTATAGGCTACAGCGGACATGGCATGACTCTCGTGGCGGGTATTGGGCATGCATTCCATTCCCACCTGGCTGTTACTTCCTTTCCAATGTACCCACTACACGTACTGAAAACGCTGAGGGGGAAACCAGGGCCAGGAACTTCTGCACGCCTTACTCAGCTGGAATCCCGCTTGGAACTGGACCTAGAAAAGGCGGAAACCCTGGAAAAGCCCGCGTCGCTCCCGTTCACATGAAGTAGGTGGTACTTCGCTGATTGAGTTGATTGGTTCCAATCTTGGATTCTCGGGTGTCAGCAGGTACAAGATGATGAGATGACGTGTGACAACGGATGACAAACGCCCGGAGAAGTCGATGAATTCGTAAGGTAGTGTACAGTGGGTAAGGTACGGTACGTCGGATATCTATGGCCATGTAAGGTAGCCAGTACTTATAGGGTACCTCGCCGGACTGGAACAGTGGTGAGAAGCCTTGAATTCTCGATTCTTTGTCAGACCTACCCTAGTTCTCCATATAGTCCATACGTTCCATCCCTTGAAGGATGTCCGTAATTAACGAAATAATCTCCTGTCAACCCCTGGATCCCTCTCTGTTTCTTCCCCGTCTTCACCCCGACTTTTGGAGTGCAAAATGAACCGTCTGAGTAGCCAAATTCAGCACCAACCAGCCCTGAGCGGGCGTTGTTGGGAATACGTATCCGTACTCCTATCCGTACCCATAGCTTATACGAAGTATACCTTATAGTGCCTTCGATTAAGCAAGAATAACGGAAATCATTCAAGCACTCCGTATTGTCGTCCGTTCCCCTTAATTCTCCCTGCTTATCCTCGCTTTGTATGCCCGACCGCGGGGCCCGTTTTGATAGCTAGCGGCTAAGGAATTGCATATTGCATCCCCTCTAGGGAACCCCTGGACAGGACGTGGAACCTCAAAGCAAGCAGCAAACAACCTTGACTACCTATGATAGTGGCCAGCAAGGCGATCTCTTCGTGTCCGCCAATCCGGGCCAAAAACCAGGTTGTACAGCGAACGATCCTGTGTATACCAGCCAGCTTTCTGCATCGCTGCGATGGGACCTGCGCTGGGTTAGGGAAGGAGGGCCACGTTTTGAGTCTTGGCAAGGGCGTTTCTCATCGGGCAAATTATGGGTGCTGGTTGATGCTCTGAATCCCGGTATGCCATTGTAATTACACTAATACGAGAAATTGTTGGCCTGCGCCTGGGAAGTTGTTATAATTTTTAGTTGCTCTTTATTTTGGAGATGTTTTAAGCATAATAATGTGGCTGAAGAGTCCATCTTCGTTCAGGATGATGGCGGTAATCGGAGAGACACACACACCACACACACACTACCTGGTACACAAAGACCACTGCCCCCCCCCCGAATGTCCGAATGTCCATGGAAGGCTTCGCGCTTCTCGATATGGTCGAAGTATGGAGCACTTCGTACATCGTACGTGCGAGCCCTCCCCTCCCTCTTCGTCATCGATATGCCATAGCTGCTCGGCTAGCCACTGTTCTTGCTTGGCTAAACCTTGGCCGAAGAATTGCTATTTACGACTTGGCACCTCAGCCCTGGGATCGGAGCCATGGCGGCATGTCGTCTGCATAGCATCTCTTGGCTAATCCTACATCCGCGATCGTGTTCTTGGCCGAGCCTTTCCTTGGCACTCCCAGGCGTCCTCAGGTAGGTAATTACAGATCCGGATGCCAAAGCCAAAAGAAATAACTACTTCGTAGACGCCGTCGAGATGGTGAGCATTTTGAGCTTTATTTCTCTGCCGCCAGTACTACCTATCCTTATTATGGAAGCATTGTCCTCCTATGAACCGACTTGGAATCCGTCGGCTCCTCTCCCATAATTCCGAAATTGACCTAATTACCCTGGCCAGATCATTGATTCTCCAGGAGGGGGTGACTTCTGGCCTTGTTTTTCTCGCATCGGATCCGATCTAACCGCCAGAGAATCTCTGGGCTTCATAGGTGCAAATATTAATACCCCACCATGACAGTTTAGCGGCGTCATGGTCTAGAGGTATGATTCTTGCTTTGGGATTACTGAATAAGTGCTCAAACCTGCAAGAGGTCCCGGGTTCAATCCCCGGTGACGCCCCAACAATTTTGTCTTTTTATGTCTGCACGCATGCTGTATATGTATGTGTTTTTTATGTATGTATGGTTCATCAATTTTGCTTCGTTTTAAAAACTTTTGTTTTTTTATATAAGAAAAAAGGAAGAAAAAAAATTACATATAATGTTATTACGATTAAGAAACAACCCCCAACTAATTACCTTTTCCTCTTCCTGGTATCTGATGTCTGTCCTTGATGCCACTGTTCACGATGTTTGTTCCCTCGGTCCCGGCTACAACCCATCACATGGATGCGCTGCCTATCAGTTGTGATCACATCCGTCGTTCTGCTTCCGGGGTAAGTAGTAAAGTCTCCACGTCCTGTTTCCCTCTCAACTACGGAGTACATATATTCTGACGCCTTTTGGGCAACATAGTACAGGTAAGGGGCCTACATGCGCTAGCCCGCTGCAAACACTGGCCAAATCTGGTGAGTGAACCGCTTCGCCGCAGCCGATGACAAAGTGTGTTATGGAGTAATAGCCTCCAAGCGCTCTGGGTTTACACTAGATATTGGAGAGACTTGGGGCGGGGTTTGTTTTCGTGCTAATTCTTGGCCTATGGTCGCCTAGGAATCATATCTCCCGTCGTGACCCCTTGCCTCTCGGAGGCGAACGAGAATATGGTCAACTTGAGGAGAAACAACCATTCGGAGTATTCCGCCGTCTCCCTCCCGCCTGTCCCGTCTGTCCCGCCTTCTGTCGCCGAGCCGACAAGTAAGTGACTGAACCTAACTATTCCTGCTCTTGACACCTGTTATACTAACTGTGTATGTATGTAGTTGCGTCTGAATATATTCAGAGGGACGTCTTACCTTCGTTCTCCCGCCCGGCTACTGGTGCCGCTCACGCCCTCGCCGACCTCCCAGTACTTCGGGACCTCGTCTCTAATAAGGCTGGCCGTGGCACCTTCTCTACGAAAAAGGCTAATAATATCCCGGCTACTATAGTCCAGTGCGTTGGAGACGAGGCTCCCGCGCCATGTAACCGTTGCGCTCAGAGGTTCGGGCTTTGGGCCCAGTGTGTGGTGCCGCCCGTCGCGTTTCATGGCGTCACCAAGGGTGCCTGCGCTACCTGCCACTTCGAATCACTCGGCAGCAGGTGTTCCTTGCATAAAAGTAAGCATGCATCTCTTATAGCTTTACTGTAGCAGCCAGCTAATAACTGTTGTAGAGAATCGGGTTCCGATGGCCCCAGCCCCCCCAGCCGTTAACACCCTGCCCGGATCTACTGGCCTAGATCTGGCGCAGTTGAAGGAAGACTCTAAGAGGATGACGGATGCCCAGAGGGCCAGCGCTGAGGCTAGGATACAGGCGGAGATGGCGGCCCTGGGTTGGGCCAAGCTCGAGCTGCAGCAACGGGAACAACAGCCTTGGTCTTGGGAGGATAAGGAGGACACCGAGTTCGGCGCCAACTTCAGCAAGCGCACCTGGCATGACAGCAATGGTTCGTTTCATGGCGAGTTTACCTATGTACAGACCGCGGCCACATGTCTCACAAGCGTATCCCTTCCAGGCGAAACCATACTCTATTTCCGAAAAGCCTGATGACCAAGGCGGAACCCACTCGCCCCGGCGTGTCTATTCATTATGCTCTCGAAAAGCGGAGGAAGAATTCATGGATTCATGTACACATGGGACATCAGTCTTCCGGACCTTACCCTTCTCCTTCGAAGTGAACGACGCAATGACATCATCAACAGGATCCACACTTCAAGCCGAGTGAGCTCCAGAATTCGCGAACGATAGCGTCAAAAGTCCTTGTCTTTCAACTGATAAGACTCCCCCGTGAAGCGTCTATTAGGTACTTTCTGGGAGTACGTCTTGCTGGTATCGGCTTCAGCTTTCGGGAAGTCGGCCGATATCGATATATAGATGGGCTGTCAGTGGTTATTTGTCCAAGTTGTCTCAGAACATATTTATCTTGGATAGGGTAGGGTTTTGCAGTCCATGCCTTGTCCCATGCGGAGGATGTTAAGTCTTATGGCCGGATGCGGCAGGAGTCTTAATTCCTGACTGTGCGCTCGGAGTGAAAAATGCTGGGACAGCTGCTGGGAGGAAGCGAGATCTTTATTATTAAGGATGTCTTCAACCGTGGATGTCTGGACGAGTTGGGTACCACTGATTCATTAGCCTGCCTTCAGAGGCGGAATACCTAATCCCCATGCGGCTAGACCGTCCCCCTACTTGGGAATAGTAACACTCTTCCCCGGACTCTCCCCCTTTCACCTTCCCCTTCTTCTTTTCGCCAAAGCTCCATTGTCAAGCATTCGAAGAGGGGCAGTTCGCAGGAACAAGGCAGCCAAATTGCGGGGATAGGTCATAGGATACCCTCGCCCGGGAATGGCTAAACTGTCTATCTCTCACTAACTTTGGCTTGGGATGCAAGGCAATGCAAGCAAGTCGAACGGTGTGAGTCGGTATGATGGATTGACCCGACGAACGCTGGAAACAGGGGCTGGGGGGGACTCCATCCGGCACAACCTTGGGCGGCCTAGTTGCGACCGAGTCTCCGAGTGTCAACTTGAACGTGTCGGATGACACGCTCCATTCCAGTGGTGGCCGTGAAGTGGAAGCTCGCCTACATCCCCATATGGCGGCGATGGAACATTCCAAACCCCTCCGCCTCCTCCCCCGTCTCCTCTTCCTCCCCTATCCCTCAGGCCTACTTCGCCTACATAACCCATCGAGCGGTCCTCCCCACACAACATGAACATCATATCCTCAGCGCCGGACGTCCCCGTCGTCGACGACACGGGACTATGCGGGTCGGATTCCAGGTGATGCGGCCCCCCCTCGGCTCCCCCAAGCGGTGCTAACGGTGGGCGCGACGGCATGAGAGGCCGTCCTTGCTGCGCGAGCCATTCATCCGCCGTCGCCGTCGCCGTCGCCGTCGCCGTCGCTCCAATTTCAATTCCTCCAGCCTCCGGGGGCAGCGTGTGGCACCGGTGGTTCCGGATCGCGGCTTCAAGTGCGGCGATGCGGCCGTAGAGCTGGCCGATGAGCTTACGCGAGTTGGAGAGTTTCCGCTCGTCGATGGCCGGGTAAGTACACTCCGCACCATTCCCGGCGCGGAGGCAGAGACGGCATGGTCGACCGTCGGCGTTGGGATGGCACTGTAGAACAGAAAATCACTTTTCTGTTAGCGGCATGCGCGAGGAACTGGTCGAAGGGGGTAGGGAATCCTCTGGTGGTTGTAACCTTGACTTTTTTCCTCCGGCATGCGGTACAGGCTAGAGGTTTTGACACACGGGGTGGTCTGGAGCAGGAAGGGGAAGCCTGCTTGTGTTTCGTGGTTGTGACATGGCTCCGCTGCTGGTCTGCCTGCTCCGATGCTTGAGGAGATGGGAGGTATTCGGACTGATAATGTACTGTTAGGGGGAAGTTGTGTGGGTTCGAGTATGCGTCAAACGGCGGCTCCATGGTTGTGATGTCGACTGTCGACTGAATCTGCTGCACGTTGTCGGCGGTATTCCTTCGGTGTTCCTTCTTTGAGACGGTTCTTACATAACGGGACTGGATTCTTTGGGTGTTATAGACAGTAGTTGAGGGCGTAGTAAAGTTGGCGATGAGACGTGAAGAGAACCCCGCCGCAGTCAGAACTGCTGAGTTGGGCTTCACACCAAGGCACCCGGGTGCATTATATGTAAAGCCTGAGGGCTGGGCCTTGACACTTATCTGCCACGAGAGTCCACTTCAACCACCCTACTGTAGGCTGTCCCACTTCCCCAGACAAGGAGATCGGGGAAGCTCCCCACTGACCCCAGATACTGAATCATGGGGGCACCCCCCCCCCCGGGGGGGGGGGAGGGGCAAAGAAGCGGAGATAGAGATCCGGGCCACTTTACGGAGTATGCGGGGGTACATTTGTTCGTCCATTGAACTGGAGTGTCCCCTAATACTGTTCTGGTCACTGATATTGCCACAGATAACCGAGCAACAAACTACCTAGGTAGTGCTCAGATGGCTCGATCTGGCCTGACAGCCCCAGAGACTCCTTTTCCCGAAGCGGTCTCCGTAGCGAATCTCCTAGTTGCACTATGGCTCTCGCACAGACCTAGTTCAGGCTCTCTTCCCACATGATCGAATCGCTGTAGGCCCTGTGCTTATAAGGTTAGGGTGAGTTAGCGGATCTCTAGTCCGAAGCTGGTCCCCTTCACCAAAATCGTACCCTCAGCACCTACTGCATGACAGCCGAAAATCCTATATCTAGGAGGAGCCGTTTGAACAATGAATTTTCCCGATCGAAATTTTGGACGCTAGACAGAGATAGATGCTCGCTGTGGGTGCTCATATATAGGTTCATCACACAGCCCTGGCACGAAAACATGAAGATAGGGACACCGTAGACCGGCAGGCTTATGCCCTTTAGATCACCATTCCACTCCCAAAGAAGATGGACAACGCCTTTACGAAGTGCAGTATGCCAATGTAGTATGCCAATGTACCCGGAAGAACATCAATGTCTGAGCTTGCCGTCGTTGCACAAGGGCAGCTTTTCCTCGTCATACCCACGAGCTGCCACCGTTGGTGGTCTCATTCGAGTCCATCTGTTCCTTGTATATGTCTCGGAGGTGCCTTCCTTTTGTGTACGCTCTCCGTCTCCAAAAACAGGTTTCAGGATAGCATCGTATACCGCCCACACCAAGTTCAAAACCATGCCCATGAAGATAACCAGCCAGAGGGGCGCTCGGCCTTTCTTGTCCGCCAAACTTCTTGCCAGAAGCATGCTGACTATCAGGAAGGGGCCGAAAGCCAGCCCGATGAGCATTTTCGCAACCTCTTGCTTCCAGTTCGTTACTCGATAGGGTTGCAGGGTCTGTAGATACTCCTGGTAGTCTTCGGGAAGCTCGTGCTCCCTGGCTCCGTCCTTGATGAGCTTCAGGTAGCGCGCCGAAGGCTGAGCGTAGTCAGGGTCCGGACGGAAGTGGGGCCTGATGAAGCGCCAGTACCACTTCTTCCGCGGGTCCTCGGGGCTGTCGGGGCTGTCGGAGTCGGTGTCGACTCCTATGCCGCCGTTACCTCCATCGGGTGCGTCGGGGATAGCGGGAGCGAGTAGAGTGTGCGCGAGGAACGGCTTGGGGACGTCGATGGGCGGTTTCTCGGGCAGACCCATACGCGGTGCAAGGGGGAAGCATGGAATTAGAATGTCGGTATACGCTGTGCCTTCTGTGGCGATGATAGTGGCATAGTCTTCGTGGGTTACCTCGTAAACGACACCAAACAGGCCATGTGTCCAACCCTTCTGTTGTGGTTGTTTCCCTCGCTCTATCCTTGCATCTTTCTTTTGTAGACGGTCATCCATCGCATCGTTCAAGCTGGAGCCGGAAGCAGTGAAGGGAGGGGTGATGGGCGGAATCTTGGGCGGTTTTGAAGGATCCGGCAGGCCAGGGACCTTGCGCAGCGCCGTGTTGGCGAAACATGGCTCAGTGTAAGGAAGGCCGGGGAGGCCGAAAACGAGATCGAGGGTTGGGACCGAGACGTTGACCTGGGAAAGGGGTCGGACTCGGCGGACGCCCAGAAGGGTCTCGGCACAAAGATTGGAGCCGTAGGCGAGGTAGAGGACGGACGTGGCCGTGGTCGGCGGGGCACGAAGTCGAGAGTCGGGAGTTGGTGGGATCGACGAGATGGGCGGGTAGGGGCGCTTGGGTTGAGCTGAAGTATCTCGTAGCTCGCATAGCGGCTGGTTCGGTCGTTCAATTGACGCCATCTCAACAGCTTGTGGTTGGTCGAGTCCGGCTGGCACTGACGCGACCTCAGGCGGACTGTTCCCTCGCGATGAGGCTGAAGGTTGTACAACTAAGGTACCTAAGGTACCTTATGCAACTGAAAGCTTTGGAGCATAAGGTAGACCCGTACCCTAAATGCACTCGTCCTTCGAAAGCAGGAGGCGGAGATCTCTGAGGGCAAACAGAAAGACAAGTTTACCCAACTTTCCCTTGGGAACTATCCGTACTTGAAGCGGAGCAAGCGGAGCTGAGCTGAGTGGAGCCCGTCATGTCCGACGATGCTTGGTAATCGGTATATTTCGGTAACCACACCGAGAAATTCTCCGACGCTATACGAAAAATGCAAGGGAAGAGAGAGTGACGAGCAGAGCCGTTTTACATCAAAGCCCGTCAAGATCATATCGATATTGAGCACAATAGCAGTCGAACAAGGATCAATGTTTGATAAATGTCACATCCTCAGATACATTGTACATCTCGTTCTCGGGACTCGTCGGTTACGGGTCCTCAGGAGGTCATGGGTTATTCCTTCCCTTTCTTAGCCAGGTGGACGGTTACCTGTTTCACACTCCTCCTGTCCAAGGTACCTTTGATCTGGCTGCTTCTTCACATATCAATCGGAAGTCGTGACCGCCGTGACCGTCGTGACCCGTTCATCCGAGGTATACCTGGGATGGGTGTTCCTCGTTGGGTAAGGTACCTTACTTGGACATACTCATACGGGGCAGGTAGCACAGAGACTGTCACTGCCAGTCTCGTCATGATCACATCTTTTCTTTTGGTCAGTTAAAATGATCGGTCGTGTGGGCGTTAGGACTGAGCCCTCATCATAATCTCTCGAGTTTCCGTCAACATTCCAATATTACCCATCTTCAGACATACGGCCCGTCACCTCCATCACCAGTCCATTATGATCCGCTAAGTAATTAATCCACCCCTTTCAGACCTCGTCCTGGACACCCATTGACATTGTTGAAGCTCCGAGGGAAATGGGCAAACTACGACAGACCAGAACTGATGGGGTCACCGACGGCCCTGTCACTGTTCACAAGAAGCCCGGGAGGGTTTATGGTCGCGGTCCAAAAAGCAAGGCAGGAAAATCGTCGAGCGCTCAAATTGGGCAGCTTGAATTTTACTCTGGGGAGACATCAAAAGGTGGCCCATCAGGCCAACCTCCAGAAAGCAACCCAAACACGGCCACCCTTGCCGCCCCCTGGACGGTTTCACACGCAGGCTCCGGCTTTGGCCTAATCGGTGACGGCTGGACGACAACTGCGCTCAGTTCTGAGCCCGAGGACAACCCCCTGGGTAATGATGGACTGCTCGCTCCCCCAGAGAAGAAAGGCGTCAGCCTTATTAACGATCTCTTCGCTACTTCCGACCGTTCCGGTTCCACTTCTGTCAAAGATGATGCTAGCATTCCCGGAGGGGAACAGGAGACGATTCATCCGGGCTCGCGAAGAAACCTCGTTCAGTTGATTGGGGACCTCTTTACCAGTCCTGCACTCTCCAATTGCCAGGATGTAGGTAGTGATAACAGCCCTCCGACGGACATCACGTCACCTAGCACCAGAAGAAACCGGATCCCCCTGATAGGAGATGATTGGTCTTCTATTGTTCCTTCCGACAAGGTTAGTGAGCCTGAGCTGCAATCTTTCAGGTCGAGCCAGAGCCAAGAGAAGCATACCACCCAAGATACTCTTGGTGCGGACTGGTCTTCCTGGGCGGATCTGAGAATTAGCCCATCACCAGAAGCTGCAGATATAAAGACTCAGGGCAGTGCGGAAAACGCCTCTTCGAATCAGCCATTTGATGCATCTATGGCTGCTGCCCCTATCACCCCTGATCGTGGTGACTCTGCTCTTCGCGGCAAGGTTCTTGAAAATGCACCGAGCTCATGCTTGGCCACTTACCCAGGAGAGAACTCTTCGGAAAGGCCGGCCCTCGATTTCAAAACGGCGGGTGTTGGCGTGGGGGCAAAGTTGACCAAGAAGGGCAAACATAACAAAGGTGCAGAGGTCTCCAAGGCGCCGAGAGAATCATTACAGAGCTTTGGCATTACCCAAGCCTCAGATAAAACCAAGGCCGACACGGGTAAGCTACATGCCCCAGATTCCCGTCCTCCTGCTGGGAAAATAGAAGAAGATCCTTGCAGATCCAATTAGAGAGGCAGCAACTTCTACGGCCTTGTACAGCGAAGAGTTCGATGCTAAAGAAGACTACAGAGGAAACTGCCGAACAGTTACCTCCGAGCCCCGATATTCATGCTCAAGGATCGCGGTCTGGTCTCGGGAATGTACCACGAAAACCTAGTCCAGTCAAAAGTCATATCCAAGGAGCCCAGGCAGAAAACTCGACGCAGTACAGGAGAAAGAAACCGAGGCAAATTGCAAAGAAGCCCTTCGACCCCAGTGCGCCACTGAACCCTTCCAATGAGGGTGCTAGGAAACGACGCCAGCGTGTCCCCGACACCAGAGCAAAGAATGGCAAGAAGTTGAAGTCGAACTCGACAAAAGAGGTAGTCGCACACTCGACGACAAAGAAGAAGAACCATAAAGCTTCCCAGCAAGCACCCTTGAGTATTATAGACACCGACAGAAGGGACCCTATGGCAGATCAGCATACGGCCGATGTGGCATGTGTTGATAATCTCGAGCTTTCTGACATGGGATTAGACAATTGCGACTTCCTGGAGAAAGGTCACCAGAAGAGCGACGCAGAAGAGAACGTCGAAAGCGCCGAGATCAATGCGTCGCCATCGAACGCCCGGCTCGAACCTTCGACAGTGTCCACCAAAAAACCCTCCGATATCAAGACTGGGAGAAATGTGAGGACTCCAGCCACCGAGGGGCCAGTCAGCGATGTGAACATAAAGAAGAAAGATAAAAGCAAAGGAGAATTTACCTCGGCTTTGCTGAAATCCGACGAGTCCGATGCCGACGATTCGGAATACACGCCAGTCAAGTACCAACAGAGGCCTCGCCGCAAACCGAAGAAAGCTAAAACCACTTCACACAAATCTTTCGAGGTTATCAGCATTTCATCCGACATCAGTAGCAGCCAGAGCGGTGAGGAAGGACTAGCAACTAGCTGCCGCGAAGGGGGATTGCTTCCATCCCCGGAGCGAACTTCCGAGGCTCTGTCTATCAGTCCTGAGCGTCCTCCTCTCTTGGCTGTGGTGGATCAGCCCGTGGCCCTCCCTCAAACCCCGGGATCACCCATGACCATACGCACTGGTGGAACGCGGAAATTGTCACTGTCACCAGGACTCCAGCCTACCAACCCTACTCCTCAAGCGCAATCTCAATATCTGCAGAGTGGATCACGTTCCGAGAAGACTTCAAATGGAGATTGCGAAAGAACTCCACGGTGCGAAGCTGGACCTATCAATACCAGACCCGTTGTCGAGCCCTCTGCTTGCACGCTCGACTCGGCGATGGCAGCTTTGGGATCAAGTGATGTTTCCACTCGGGCCCAGGGTCCCGTCTCGACCAAGGCGAAACAAACCAGCCAGTATCCGATTGGCGTGCGGCAAGGTCTGGGCCAGGCCCAGAAACGCAAAGACGACCCTCAGATCATTGAATCTCCAAGAAAAAGAGTAAGGTTCAGTGACAAGCTTTCACCAGATGATCGCTTGGATGAACAGAGAATGGCCGGCGCGGGCCACACTGGGGATTTTACTGCGCTGTCTAAACAGGGAATATCAAACCCGTCGTCACCCGGAAACTCTGTTCCAAGTCAACGATCCACCATGGAAAATTACCTGTATTCCTCCCGCCAGGAGGATACCTTGCCTGAACCCAGGAGGCCGGAGTCGGCAAACTGGGCAAGCAGTTTCAAAGAGATCTTAGAAGAGCACTATCCAATCGATGGAGCGATCTATTCCGGCTTGGGGCGGTGTAACGGAGGGCATACTGGCATCGGGCTGGTCGAACCGACTCGTTCGAAGATGCGGGACACTCGACCGAATGTGTTGACCGAAGCTGTACATGAATTGATAGCAGTGAGTTCCTTTCCAGCTACCAGGATAAGCCAGGCCCAACCCTAACTTTCATACAGACTTTGATGTGTCAACTCGACACGAAGGCCCAGAACGTTAAGCGCGTGGCTCAGTTGTTTCTTCACAAGGGGAGGCAGGTCATCGAGACAATGGAGAAGCTACATCGAAACGACCGGGAAGCCATCATCGAGAAGCAGGAGCTGCTCCGCGCGGCGTACGTTCAGAAGTGTGGGCAGGTGGCGATGGAAATTCGAAGCGTCATCGAAGACTCTCAAGCCAACGGCCAGGGAAACTTCTTGGGGGACTTGAGAGACCGGAGTGACAAGGCAATGAGAGATCTTCATGCCGAATCTGAACGAATACAATACACCCTTGAAGAAGCTATCAAGGAAGTTAAAGAAGTTACATCGAGTCGAGGGTGATGCGAGACGGGTGATACGCACTGGGTGAATTCGGAGCAATGAAACGGGTAGACGGAAGAAAAAGAAAGGAAGGTTCGGGGGATATCGGCGACTAGCACGAGTGAGGACGTGGAAGGGGGACGATCTGGCGAGGCCGGGGAAAAAAGGATGTTATTTGTTATGTTGAGTCTTGCGTTTCTTACCAGAGGAATTTGCTGGATGGTAACATGGTTTGGTGCAGTTGGGGGTTATGAAACAATGCGAGATGTACGGTACGTGGTCTGAAGGATTCTGTCGGTGCAGCATACTACGGCAAATCACAGGGGGCACTGTAACAACTTCTAAAAATAGTAACAAAAGGCTTCTAGGTCCACGCTAATAGTAGGAATAGCCATGCCTAATAATAGTATATATAATAATAATTATATAGGTACGTAAACGTTCCCTTAATAGTAGTTAAGTAAATAGGGCATATAAACTTATTCTACCAGATAGCTTTATATAATCTTATATAATATTATAAACCTATTCGCACTTATAAAGGTATTTATATATACTTACGTAACTATAGCTAGCTCTACGTAATAAGTAATAATAATGGCTAGTAATAACTCTATTTACCTTATTTTAAAAATTAATTATATAGTAGTATTTACGAATAACTATAACTTAGCGGCTTACCATATTTACGATAAGCCTTGACCTAGTTCTGTATAGTTAAAGCGCGAAACCTTACCTACTTAGTCGGATTCGTCTATAATCGACCTTACGGACGTAACGCCGCCGCGTAAACGAAAGGAAAAAGATATCCCGCCACTAACCGCACTTTAAATTCCGGGTACGGAAGCCCGCGCTCTGGTTTACGTACTCCGGCATAGCGAAACGGAGCGTAAAATAAGTATCGCGTAGATAAGAAAAGAGAAAGCGTAAGGTCCTATGAAAGAAATTAGTATCACGCTATATAGTTACGAGTATAACGGATTAACTATTAAAGGCGTACCCTTCTATAAGATTAAATCTATTATTAGGTAAAAGGTTATGGACCGAGTTATAATTTTACTTAATCTTCCTTATCCTATATATTAGTATTTAGTTCGGTATATTATTTCCTAGTTTAATATATAATCAGTATAGTTTAAGTAAGACCTTATAGTCTACCCTTATAATAAACGGAATTAGAACAAGCTTACGTACTACCGCGATAAAACGTATAAGACTATAACGTTACGCGTACTCTTATATAAAGCCGACTTCGACCTTTTAAAAGACTACTATCTTAATTTTCTTTATATAACGTAAATTAAAACTAAGGCACCTAATCTAAATATTTCGCGTAAGCGATTAAGCCGAAAAGCTATTACGTAAAGTGATATAGTTATAGATAAAGATATACCTATTACTATAAAGAAGGAAATTATCGTTAAACCCCGCGCAGAATTAGAAAATACGAAAATAGTTAGAAAAATACCCACGCTTCCGTAGATATAGGTGAAAAAGGAGGATAAAGACGACTCTAATATAAAAAAGAAGGAAATAAGCGAGGGTAATATAAAAACGGAAATAGCTAAAGATAAAAAGCCTCGTGTAAATCGAAAGGTTATTATACCTCCTTTAACGATAGGGCTTTAAGACCATGCGGGTCCGTCTATTATAGGATAAAAGCGTATAATCTCGAAAGTTAACAGATAGAAAGATTAGGATAAGGAATAGAAAAGATAAGTAAATACTATTCGCTATAATCGCTAAGTTAAGTATCGCGCTCTAAATCCTCTTCGTCTATCCCTATAATAGTCTTATCTATAACTATACCCTCTTCTTTAAGGAGGTCTTTAATTAAAGTACTCCCGCCTTACGGTGTAAAAAGCAGCTTAAGTTATAAATCCGTATAACTATTCGTATATAAAGTTAGACCCTTCCGTATATACTTATATAATAGTAAAGCAGGGTATGCGTGACCTTATATAAGTAAGCTTACTAGAAGGTTAGTAGTAGTATCCGCTATACCTCTATAGATCTATATTACTATATTAAGAAGATATACTTTTATATCCGTAAGCTTATTAGCGAGAATCTTTTCCACCATATAAAGTTATATATTATTAATCCGCACTTAATAATTCGGCGAGGTATAGTTATATATTATAAAAGACTTACCGGTTATAATATAGGGCTAAGATTTCTACGCGCGAATAGTATAGGTATTATAGACTTATATAAAGCGGGCGAAGTCTACGCGAAGAAGAGGTATATAAACGTAGAGTAGCGTAATCCTATTAATAATTAAGCGGCCGTCGAAAAGTTCGTGTTTAGAAAGATAAATTAAAAACTCCTATATTTTATTTAGTATAAGAATATATATAAATAGCCGACGTTATACTTACCCGCTAAAATACTGAATAAGACTAGTAAAGTCTATTCTACTACGATTTAATCTATTAGTTATAGATACTTTTCCTAAATATCTAATAGTCTTTAAATTTAATTAGAACCTCTTTACTAAGTGCGTTTTTCTTTATATAAGAACCTCGAGAAAGGTACTAATAAACACTAGCCGTAAGTGTTATTTCCTTTCCGCGATCTAATCGTATATATCTAGGCATAAAGCTAAGTTATTGTATAACTCTAATATATTACACGAGAATATTTCGAGACGTATAGGCTAATACACTAACGTAAAACTAAGTTATAAAACGGGAATAGGTATTAATTCCGGTATAGATCTCGAAGCTAAAGGGAAATAGTTTATCATACGCGTCTATAGACTAAATAAAATTAGGTCCCGGCGTCGTCTAGCCCTTTCTACGGTAGCGTATCTCCTTATATCGCGTAGTAACCTCCTTAGGAAATAGCTCTAAGTATATACGATATAGCGCCCGAGTACTAATAATAAAGCCTTATTAACGTATAAAAGTATAAAGCTGCATCTTACTAAGCCCTTATATAAAAGATACGTCTATATCTACTTTTTTAAAAAACGCCTTAATACGCTCTTATTCGGCTACGATTTAGTCCGTGTCTTATCGTCTTTAAAGGCGATAATCGCGTCGGATCCGTTTAAGACCGGTTTATAATATCTAAAAGCCCTCGACGCGTAATTAATATAGTATATAGCTATTATATAACACATTATAAAAAAGCTTATATATACGTCGAATAAGTGCGTTGCTTAAGACCGTATAATGCTCTCTCTAAAGGCCCTATACCTTATAGCGGCGCTAAAGAGTTTAGCGATAAATTATTAATCTAGTTTATTTCTATATAAAGCCGTATAGTACCTTATTAGTCTAACCCTCTTTAAAGCGGTAAGAGATTTCCTCGCGTAAAGGCTCTAGGTTGATTTTTTTCCCCCGTATAATTATATAGTATCGTATAACTGCGCGTAAAGCTATATAGTTCTAAGTATTAAAAGTGAAGACTATTAGATAGGAGTAAAGAAGAGTTAGTCGCGGTAAAGACGATATATGGCCGTATAGTCCTTTATGGTAGCGAAAATAATATCTTTTATTCGGAGTTAGAAAGGAAAATATATATTATATATAATAAGTAGCCTTAGCGTATATATACTATATATACCTAATTATACAAATACTATAGCGTAAAGTATTTAAATTAATATATACTATAACTATTATAAATATTATTTACTTTATAAATAAATACTTAGTATTATAAGTTACTATTATAGTATATAGTCTATTATTTTATTAGATAATAATAGCTATATATATTATATTAAAATATAGAATTAAACTTTTAAATACTAATACTAGGTTATAATAAACTAGATTGAATAAAAGACTTATA